AGAGCTGTGAATGCTATGGTAATGAGTTTGGGTTTTACTCTGTAGGTAAAAGGGAGCAAAAGAGGAATTCTGAGCATGCATGTGCACATCTGTGTTTTACAAAACTTACTCTGTGAAAGTAGATCAAAGTTAGTGAAAACTGGAGTCAAAGTGGCCGGATATTACTACAGTAAATTAAGTGTAAAATGAAGGAATGAGACTCAACTGGGGCACTGGCCATGGGGAGAGATGCCACTGACATAAATAAGACTCAGTATTAAGAGTGGGGTAAAGGCCGGGCACGGTGGCTCAAGCCTGTAATCCCAGCACTTTGGGAGGCCGAGGCGGGTGGATCACGAGGTCAAGAGATCGAGACCATCCTGGTCAACATGGTGAAACCCCGTCTCTACTACAAATACAAAAAATTAGCTGGGCATGGTGGCGTGTGCCTGTAATCCCAGCTACTCAGGAGGCTGAGGCAGGAGAATTGCCTAAACCCAGGAATTGGAGGTTGCAGTGAGCCGAGATCGCGCCATTGCACTCCAGCCTGGGTAGCGAAACTCCGTCTCAAAAAAAAAAGAGTGAGGTAATACTCCCCACAGTCACAGCAAACATAGCTCTCAGATTCATGAATTAAGCACCTGGAAAAAACGAATACTAGAGGAAGAATAGGTTTGAGGGAGAGGGATAGAAAGGTGGCACTATCTATTAAGCAGCAGCATTAAGGATCTGGAATGTTAACAGCTATGAACTAGAGACACAGATCTAGGAGGCATAAAACTACACATATATGCAGAAAAGAAAAGCACAAAAATCTACGCCCAAGTCCACAGAAGTCTATTGTGGTAGCTAAGATTAAGGAGTCAGAGAAAGAGGGGGAGGATCTAAAAAAGAAGAAGCAAAGAGACAAGGTTGGTTTTTTTTTTTTGAGACGGAGTTTCACTTTTGTTGCCCAGTCTGGAATGCAATGGTGTGCTCTCAGCTCACTGCAACCTCTGCCTCCTGGGTTCAAGCGATTCTCCTGCCTCAGCCTCCCAAGTAGCTGAGCTTACAGGCATGTGCCACCGTATCTGGCTAATTTTTTGTATTTTTAGTAGAGACGGTGTTTCTCCATGTTGGTCAGGCTGGCCTTGAACTCCCAACCTCAGGTGATCTGCCCGCCTCAGCCTCCCAAAGTGCTGGGATTACAGGCATGAGCCACCGTGCCCAGCCAAGAATTTGTTTTCCTTTTTTCTTTCGAGACGGAGTTTTTGCTCTTCTTGACCAGGCTGGAGTGCAGTGGCACAATCTCAGTTCACTGCAACCTCCGCTGCCCAGGTTCAAGGGATTCTCCTGCCTCAGCCTCCCGAGTAGCTGGGATTACAGGAGCAAGTTACCATGCCCACCTAATCTTTTGTATTTTAGTACAGATGGGGTTTCATCATGTTGGCCAGACTGGTCTCAAACTGCTGACCTCAGGTGATCCACCCAGCTTAGCCTCCCAAAATGCAGGGATTACAGGCAGAAGCCACCATGCCCAGCCGAGACAGGAATTTCAAATAGGAAGACACGTTTCAAGTACATCAGAGGTCAAACCAGATAAGGAGAACTGTCCCTGAGATTTGGCAATTAGGTCACCACTTTGAGGTGGAGTTAGAGGAGAGAATGGAACTAAAAGGTAAAGAAACAAAAAACAGCAAGCATAGTCTGCTCATCAGAAAAACTTAAGAAATCATTTCAGACTGGTAGCTGTTAGAGTGTATTTTGTATGTTTTTTTATAAGAGAATGTCTGAAGAAAAGGAAAACTCTTAAACTGTTACTGTTGAACAAAGGGCAGCAGGGTGAGTGGTGACAGAGATGCTCTACCAAGCTCTTCCCTCCCTTTCCCAACAAAGCACACCTACCTGGATGGGGCATCCCACCTGGTGGGAATGGATGAGGATGTGAGTGTCCATGACCAGGATGTCCTGCCCCTGGGGTTCCTGCCGACGGGGGGCCGTGTCCTGCAGCCCCAGGCGGCATAGGTGGTGGGGGCATGGCTGGAGGTATCCCAGGTGGGAGGGCTCCAGGAGGCGGCACTGGGGGTGGGAAGGAGCCAGGAGGAGGCATGCCTGTAGAGGAAATGGAAGAAGGAAGAGTTAATGGTAGTGGGGAGAAAATGTCTTCAAAGAGCTGACCATATTTGGCCTCTCCAGCCACGGCGAGTTCTTTGCCCCTCCTCCCAGTGCTGGAAAATCAAAAGCAATGTTAGAATAGTCAAATAACTTCAGCCTCCCAAAGATACCCAACAACATTCTCCTCCACCACTTCCCATCACTCACTGACTTCCCATCACTCTTCCCATCACTCATTGACTCAATGTCCCTCTTTCAGACTCTTTTTTCTTCCCCTGCTGCACTCCTCCAACCTTAAGGACAAACATATTTTAACCAAAAGCCTTACCTGGTGGAGGAAGCCCAGACCCCAGTGATGATACCACAGGATTGGGGGCAGAGGGTGGAGGAGGCGCATCTGCAAACAGCTGATGAGGACGGTCAGCCTGGGAGAGTGGGTTCTGAGCTGCCAAAAGTCGTTCAGCTGCTGAGCCATGGCGCTCACCCTTGGAGTCCTTCTTGAAGGCGTAAGATACAGTGATAGGGCGGTTACAGAGGTACTGCCCATTCATGGCTTCAATTGCTGCATCCGAAGCATCAAATGAAGCAAAATTAATAAAGGCATAACCTTTGGAGTTGCCTGTGTCAGGGTCCCGCATAATCTTAGGGGTTTGTAAGATGACCCCAAAGGCGCTGAAAGTATCATAAAGCAACTTCTCATCAATCTCAGGGTCCAGGTTGCCAATGAAAATGTTGGCCCCTACATCCAGGTTTTTGTTGTGAGCTGATGCCTTGTTCACCCGTATTGGCTTCCCATAGAGTTTGATCATGTTCATGATCTTAATGGCATAGTCTGCATCTTCCTCACTCAAGAATTCCACAAAGCCATAGCCTGCAGAAGTGGAGAGGAGGTTAACAACCTAAGTGAAGAGATTCAAAATGGGGTAAAACTCACCTCCCCTCTGATCACAAAGAATGAGAAACAACCTCACTTTATTTGAGAATGGCTCCAGAAATAAACTGAACTGAGGCTTAAAACAAAGAAATCTTTAGGTTGCTCATCTCATTCCAAAACAGTTGTGAATACTGCTGGGACCCTCCTGGAGCAATTTGCCCCTTGCCATGTACTCACCTTGGTGCTGGCCAGTGACTCTATCCTTTGGCATGTGGGTGTTGACTACCGGTCCAGCCTGGAGAAACAGTTCCCACAGCAGCGGTTCACTAACCTTCTCATCCAGGCCCCCGACGTACACAGTGGCATCTGAAGGGAGGGAGCAGAAAGTCAGGGCAACGGTGAGAGTATAACAGGAAAGGAGGTGATGGAAACATGAAGATGGAACCCAACCAGAGGAACTGGGGACCGGGGCAGGGTAGGAGCAAAAAAAAAAAAAAAAATACGTTTAACCCTTAAACCTCTTTCTTCCCAAGACTTAGGAAATCCTCTCAAGGCTAATTTAGTATTCTGGGTGGATTTTTTTGAGTGGGAAGGCAGCAGGGGATTGGACATAAAAGTATCACACCAACAGGCCTAAGCCAGCACCCAGCCACCCCGCCCCCAGCAGGCATGGGGCCGGTTTCGCGCCCTCTGGGGAACCGAGGAGTTCAGCTTCCCACCCCTGCAGAGGCACTGCTGACCCTAGTCGGGACCTCCTCGCCATGCTGAGCGCATTCCAGATTCTCCCCCTCCAGTTACCCTGGTTCCGCTCGGAGATCGGCCCGGCAGCCATGGCGAAGGAGCTCCCGCCGTCTCCCAGCAGCGGTTCCGCTCTCTGACCTCAGCCCGACTTCCACTTCCGGGGCGAAGGCTGACGTATGGTGGGCGGGGCCGCAGAAGAGGAAGTGCCTGGGAGCAGCCGCAGCCATCTTAGGAGCCTCCTTGTTTTAACCCGGCTCGACCGGTATAGTCTTCGCCTCCCGCGCAGTTGTTCTGTTGCTAGTGGTCTAAGCGAGGAGGGCGAAATGGAAACGCTCAGACCCTCTTAATGCTAAGCTTGAAAAAATCACACTGCTCCCAAAAATGTAAATTCGAACTCTGAAAGGACAAGGCTTTACTTTTGCTATATTTTGTGGCCACTGATTCTTCTTTTGTTTCCCAGAGAAGAACGTGCTGAAGAGTCCCCGCAGCCGGAGGACTCGGCTGCTTTCAGGCGCAGAGGGAAGCTTCCATCTCGCCTGCAGCCTTCTTGCAGATTTGGCCTCACAGCCCTGATTTGGCCTCACAGCCCTGATTTGGGCTGGAGGTATTGGTTTTCCTTCAGGGGAGGAGACTGCGGAATGTCTGAGCTGGAGTGACGTCTGCGCTCACTTCGTCGTAATAACATGGGGAGGGGAAGGGTGGTGGGAATCAGGCTGCTCCGAGGGTGTTTGACCACAGCTGATGGGTGGATGGGCTCAGAGACTTCAGTATGGATTTCTAGAACACTCTGGCCCCAGAGACATTTTTTTTTTTTTTTTTTTTTTTGAGACAGTCTCGCTCCATCGCCAGGCTGGAGTGCAGTGGCACGATCTCAGCTCGCTGCAACCTCCGCCTCCTGGGTTCAAGCAATTCTCCTGCCTCAGCCTCCCGAGTAGCTGGGACTACAGGCGCGTGCCACCACACCCAGCTAATTTTTGTATTTTTAGTAGAGACGGGGTTTCATCATGTTGGCCAGGATAGTCTCGAGCTCTTGATCTCACGATCCCCCTGCCTCGGCCTCCCAAAGTGCTGGGATTACAGGCGTGAGCCACCGCGCCCGGTAGCGACAACATCCTGACATGCTCGTGCCCCATCTAACCCTTTCCCCAAACTGCACTTTAATTCTGCAGCGCCTCACTAGACCCAGTTCCTCTGTTTCCTTATCAATAATATGGTGGATGCCTTCCTCTCTTGGGTCACACCCACCTTTTACCCACCACTCTTTGCTACCTAGGAGAATCCTTTATTCAAACACAAGAAACAATGCCAACAATGTGTATAAATACCATGCTTTAATGAACCCCTTAAATAGCAATTCCACTACAAAAATACACAGAGGAGACAGGGTGTTTCCTGTATCCACCTCATTCTCAGAAAACTGTAAGGAAAGAAACAGAAGTTGGAATTAAAGCAGCAGCAAGGCGGGGCCGTGTTGTTGGGACTAATGAACAGCATCTCTAATCTCACAATTAACATCTGGTTATCCAGAAGGGATGGAATTGGCTTAAAAGAACCGATCATTTTCTGGATTGTTTTTGTTTCTTAATTCTTCAAATCACAAGAAACAAAAATATCTGCAGGAACCAAACAAGACAGGACAAGGGTCGGAGCGGTTAACACCGCCATCTGCAACAGAAACTCCCATCTTCTTAGTGAACTTGTTTAACGGCTGGCGTGTGACAGCTGCAAGTCCAGATACAAAAAAAAAGGATTAAGGCCTGGCACAGTGGCTGTAATCCCAGCACTTTGGGAGACCGAGGCAGGCGGATCACAAGGTCAAGAGATCAAAACCATCCTGGCCAACATGGTGAAATCCCGTCGGTACTAAAAATACAAAAATTAGCTGGGTGTGGTGGTGAGTGCCTGTAGTCCCAGCTACTCGGGAGGCTGAGGCAGGAGATCCGCTGAGATCGCGCCACTGCACTCTAGCCTGGTGACAGAGCAAGACTCCATCCCCCTGCCCAAAACAATGGAAGGATTAAACAGAACCCTCCTCTACCCCAGATGCTCCCCTGCCCTGCCTTTGAGAATTCCAGCAATTTCCATGGGATTGAGAGGGAATGGTATTTGTATCTCTTTTCTCGGAGTGATCCTCGGGAGATATTCTTGGTGTCCATTTCCGTAATAGCTCCTGAAGATGGGCTAGCTCATCCTGGAGGCCAGAGATTACGGGAGCTGAGAGGCCAGTCTGGGGGAGGAGGCAAAGAGGAACAGAGGAATACTGTTGCAGCTCTGGCCCTCCGCTTCTAATTTCTGTCTGCTACCTCTGGTGTCTTTAATGCTGTTTCCCCTTCCAGCTATGCCCTAAATTCCACTTAATCTAAGCCACAAGCACTTTCCCCTACCTCCCACACTCCCAAACCCTGTTTAATGCCAACAGGAGTGGAACTGTCCCAGTGCCCCCATCCTCCAACTCCTTGCCTTTCCAGCTCCTGTTCATCTGGTTCAGCAGTCAAGTTCTTTCTCCCACTTCCAGTCCGTTTTCCCTCCTTACCTGGACCTCAGGCCTTCCCCTCAGGTAGCAACGTCTCCAGAGCCTGATCTGAGGTCCCAGATATCCAGGCAGCAGCAGCCCTGGAGGTAAAGGGCAGGCTCCCCAATGTGAGGGGAGCCCCCATTCCTGGTCAGCCAGGCTTTCAGAGGAGATAGCAGGTCGAGGGAACCAACGAGAAGAGACTGCCAGCAGGGAGGGACTGTCCCGCCAAGGACAAAGCTGATTCAAGGGGGTCAACATCCCTCTAGAGAAGAGCCACACAGAACTGGGGGGTCCAGGAACCAGGAAACTCGGCTAAAGCGAAAAGGAAATTAACTGGCAACTGAGAGACCAGATAACCCTAGTTTCCCCAATCTGAATCAGGATGGGGTATCCTGCGGCCACCCACTCAGTGCACTGGTGACTAGAACTCCAAGCCTCCCCATGAGAACTCTTCTGCCCTCCTCATCTAGGCCTCAGGACTGATTATGGTTGATTTTAGGGAAACGTATGTGTGCATGAGACACGAAGACGAGTAAACAGACTGGAGTAAGGATAGAAAGGGTGCCCTCTGTGCTATTCTAGGACATCTGTCTTTCTAGTGACGGCCAGGGACTATAAGTGGCTGCTGCAGAAGAGTAGTGGGGAGCATTCCCTAAGGAACTCAAGACATTGTGTCTTTCACTTCTCCCTGTCCGGCAGCATGAGCCTGTGGGAAAGTCAAGGGAATTTAGGAAATGTAGACACTTCACCTGCGTTCTAGGGAGCCAGGAATCTGGGCAGTGTTCCAGATCATAGCCAGGATTCTGGAATTGTAGTATCTGTGCACTGCTGTAGCGTAAGTCCCAGTCCCAAACAGACAGCTGCGGATGAAAAGAGCTCCCAGCTGGGGGCTGGGAGTATCCTGGAGTGCAGACTTGTGTATATGAGTTTAACTGGACAGAGGGAGCAAGACAAAGGATGGTTACCACAATCCTCCCACATCTAGAGACAAATCATGACACCCTCCCCTCTTATGCTAGGAACGATGTAGGGCAAAAGTCCCATCCTGAAAGTGAGAAGAAATCTCCCCTCCCCACCCACAGACCTCGCTTCTCATAAAACAAATGAAGACCAAACTTCCCAATGGCAACACACACACACACACAGTCAAAAATAGAGGTCACTGACCTGTCCGCTCTGCTTTCCGCGCTCCCAGGGGGTATTTCTCAGAAAGGTAAGGGTGTCAGGAACCCTGACACTGTCATGAAGAGCAAGAAGGAAAAACTCAGAGAATTCGAAATCAGCTGGAAACTGCTGGAGGAGCTGCCAGACGCAATCAAGGAAGAGGAGAAACACTGGGGACTGAGAAGGAGAAATTGAGAGATTGGAAGGGATTATTGGGACCCCAGGAGGGAGGACGACGAAATGATGGGGGAATGGGGAACACAGGGAATAGGGGGCACTATGGAAGTCAGGGAATGAACATCTGAATGGAGAGTAGAAGGGGTTGTGGGGCCTCACTCATCTGGATCTTCATCTCAGCCTAACCTTGGGGCCCTTCCGACCTGATTCACCTCCAGTGGATTATACGAAAGAATATTTTCATTCTCTTACGTCTTTTTTTTTTTTAAGACGGGGTTTCACCAAGTTGGTCGGGCTGGTCTTGAACTCCCAACCTCAGGTGATCTGCCCACCTTGGCCTCCAAAGTGCTTGGATTACAGGCGTGAGCCACCACACCTGGCCTTTTTTTTTTTTTTTTTTTTTTTTTGAGACGGGGTTTCACCATGTTGGTCAGGCTGGTCTTGAACTCCCAATCTCAGGTGATCCGCCCACCTTGGCCTCCAAAGTGCTTGGATTACAGGCGTGAGCCTCCAGCCCGGCCGAGTACTTCTTTAGAATATCCCTCCAGTGCCGTCCCGAATTGTTCTCACCTCTTCACTGACCCCAGTTCCCCCAAGCCGAGTCAGGAAGGGGTGTCCAGCTGCCACCCACTCTCGCTGCACTAGTGACTGGAAGCCAAACAGCGTTCGGGCTTCAGGAGCTGAAAGCAGCTGGACGAGTGAAGAGAGGAGGCCATTGAGATCACGATCACCGCGCTCTGGGTGATAAAGAGGAAGAAGGACAAAGAGGGGTCCAAGAAACTAGGGCAGGAGAGAATGAGAAGAGAAACATGGCAAGGAAAAGTGAGAGGCACAGCAGGGAAAGATTTGGGGTAGGCAGGATTGAGAGAGCACATAGAAGTGAAGAGAAAACAAAGACCTTGAATGATTCACTTCCTACACTCCACCGGATAGAAATACCCAGTTTCACATGTAAGGGGCAGAATCACAATTCTCAAACCAGCTTCCAAACTGCCCTTCCCACCCCAACCCGGTCTCCATCCACTGATGGAACGAAAGGAACAAAGGGCTAAGACCATCCTAGTGTCAGGGACCACACGCCGTAGGGGGCCGAGGTAGCACTGAAGGTAGAGAGTAGAGCTTGTGGGCAGTTCCCAGGAACAGGAGAGGAGGAAGCCTTACGGGCCTCCCGCCCTGAATGCAATCTGGTCAGGTGGGTGAAGAAAAGAGGCAAAGAATGGAATGGGCTTACCCAAGGAACTCACCTTGAAGTATTACAGAACGAACCCTGGATGTCACTAATACTGAAATGTCACTGGCCTTTCGAAGGCAAGCCCTGGAGGAGCAGGTGAGGAAGAATGATAAGCCTAGGGGAATGGGTCATGGGATGGAATGAGGCCAACCGCAAATCCTGCCCCTCCTCCTTCTAAAGAGAACAAACGGCAGTCTTCTTGGGAAACCGAAGAGAAGAATGAATGAAAAGCCATTTAGGAGTCCAGGTTAACAGAAGGTTGAGGAGGGCTGAATTATAAATGATGGCTAGAAGAAGCGAGGGAGTACCTGACATAGTCCAGCCATCGTGTTCCTTCCAGGGCTGAAAGCCATTTATCCTCAGCTACAGATGAATCTGTTAGAGGGCAGAGAGGTTAAGAGAAGTCAAGATTCAGGTTGATAGCCTGCTGGGTTAAAAACAGGAACGAAAAGTCATCGTAAATGGCCAGGATGGTTTTCTAAAGTTAAACTGGTGATGTTTTTGCAGCATTGTAAATATAATAAAACTCACTGAATTGTATATTCAGTGAAGAGTAAATGTTATGATGTGTACATGATGTCTCAATAAAGCTGTTCAGAAAAGAATAAACTGGAGTCAAGAAGACAGGAAATAGATGAGTCTGTGGGAGAGAGGGGAGGTGACAGGCGAAAGAGCTACTCATCTACAGCTAGCAAAGGGTTGCCCAGGTTAGGGTCAGCAGACCTGCGGGTGAGGGTGAGGGTTCAAAGGTTTTTCTCACCAGGCAGGCAGAGGGCCCTCAGCCTCAGGTGGGCAAGCTGGACATCTGCAAGGCTGGGCAGCTCATCCATACTGTCCACCAGGACAACATCCGAATGTCCAGCCTGGAGCATCGACTCCACTGCTCTGGAGGGGAGGGAGTCAGGAAGTAAGAGAAGGAATCTGTGCCGAGCACCTAACCCTCAGTTCTTCTCATCAAGCCTCCCTCACCTGATATCCTCCTTGTTAGGGTCGCTGGCTGTATAGAAGCCTCCGCAGCGGAGAAGATCACTGCCCCCAGGTTGATGCCAGGACAAGCGCTTCAGATGGGGCAGAAGAGGGTCACTGTGGGAGAAATGCCCCCTGCCCCCATGCTGACTTCACAAAGGTTCCTCCCTCCACATGTCCCCAGCCTCCCATGACCCTCACACTGACCGGTCCACGGCCCTGATGAAAGTGGCCAAATGCTCTCCTGATCTCACTGTCCAGAATCCGGTTAGGGACCCAGAAGTAACGGGGGAGGCTGTGAAATGAGAGCGGTGTTACAGTTTGGCTCAGCAACTTCATTAAAATGTAAAGCTGTTATTACAAGGAAGCTGCTTCGGAGGGACCATTCTCAGGTTAAGGGTTCTAGGAGGTAAGGGAGATACCTTTTTTTTTTTTTTTTTTGAGACGGAGTTTCACTCTTGTTGCCCAGGCTGGAGTGCAATGGCGCGATCTTGGCTCACCTCAACGTCAACCTCCCAGGTTTTCCTGCCTCAGCCTTGTGAGTAGCTGGGATTACAGGCATGTACCACCACGCCCAGCTAATTTTTTCTATTTTTTAGTAGAGCTGGGGTTTCTCCATGTTGGTCAGGCTGGTCTCAAACTCCCAACCTCAGGTGATCCTCCCACCTCAGCCTCCCAAAGTGCTGGGATTACAGGCGTGAGCCACCGCGCCCAGCCTGGGAGATAGCTTTGTGGACGTCCTAGGAGGCTGGAGATTACGGGAAGCCCTAGCTTTAGGGGATCAAGGAACTAAGGGAAGACTGGGAGAGCAGCAGGGTTGGGGGGCACTGGGCAATCACCTGGTGGCTACGTCGAACCTCTCGTTGACCGTGCTCACCCTCCAGCCTCTGGCTCCCTGCTTCTTCCGCTCAGTCTCCCAGTCTTCTGCTGTCTCCATGAGAGGAATTGGTGGTTTTCTGGAGCCAGAACCCTGGCCTAGAACAGGAGTGAGGCATAGAGGAGGAAGGAGAAAACCAGACACAGCTTCTCAGCTCTTTGTCCCAGGCATCTGGGCTTTTTCAGACTCTTCTTTACCCTAAAGCGCCCTCACTCACCAGCCTTGCTCGGGGTTATCCCCACATACTGCTGGGCTTGACTGCTCCGACCTCTGGCTTGGACAATGGCCATGGTCACCTGTGGAGGAAAGGACAGTCCATCCTTTCGGCTTAGGCTGAGTATGTGAAAAGAAGGAAATGGAGCCCGCATGTTGCTCCACTCTCTTCGCCAAGAACAAAGAGGAACAGTGAAGACGGTCTCTAGAGAAGGGGGCTTCCTCAGGCCGTGGGGACTGGGGTCGGGAGAACAAATCTAGAACCACAGAATCCTAGAATGACCATTCTGGGAGGAATTCTGGTTTTTGAGAGGAGGAAACTCGCCCACAGGCACAGTGCTGGTAACGCAGTCAGGCTAGAGGGCGGCCTCCCCACTCTCATTACGAGATCATTTATCCCAGCCTTTCAGCCTTTCCTTGAGAGAAGCAGGAGGAATGATGTGAGGATCCCGGGGGCTGGAGGAGACTCAGAAATGGTCAGGGAGAAGATCCCAAGGTTCTGGGGAGAGGAGGAAGCCCCAGGTTAGGGGCCTCTTACCTGAAAAGCCTGAGGCTCTAGGCCTCCAGCCTCAAAAGCAACTCTGAGCAGCCGGAAGTCTCGGCCATGAATCAGAATCTCCTCAGGGATAAATTTAAGCAGGGACCCTGGACGGAGGAGCTGGACTCGGGACAAGCCGCTCACTGAAGTCAAGAGGTACAGAGCAGTGTATGGACCAGGGTCCCTCCAGAAGGGACTCTTCCAGCCCGTCCCACTCCATCCCTGGCTGTTTTCTGAGAATAGAGGAAGGATGAGGAGGAGTTCCAGCACCCCCAGTGAACCCCTTCACCAAAACCCCCCAACTTACCAGCCTCCAATCGCCCAATGTTGACCAGGGCAAAATCATATTCACTGCTCAAGGGAGTGTCCTAGAGGAAGCACATGACTGATGGTACAGACATCTGAAATAGCCCTCATTTTCCTACCCTGGCAGCCCCAACCCCTCTAGGGGGCAACCACCCTAGAGAGAGTTCCCGTTGATTCTCAGTGATCCATACAAGACAGCCCTGAACCCACAACATTTGTCTAAATCCTGCTAGAATCCCCTACCCATTTCCCACTAGCTGTCATTTCTGTGGCCCCAACCATCTCACCTGATTCCGCTGCCATCCACAGGGCTGGAAGGTGACCCTCAAGTTGGTACAGATCAGGGTTCCAGACAATTCCGGTTCCAGCCCCTTCCTCACCCCCGGGGCCCATGCTAGGATCTGCTCCCCTAAAGGGAAAGAAGGGAAGCCCCATTATGACTATTCCCAGTGTTGCCCACACTTGGAAACACCCACTCCTCTGAGACAGGGAGATCTAAATGGGGACGATGAAAATCCTCCTCTAAGCCCTCTAGAATGTAAGCATCTGAGGAAAGATACATTTTAAAACATTTATGTAACTAGAACAGAGCCTAGAACAGGACCTGGCACATACCAGGCACTAAATATGTATTAAATAAGCAAATTTCAAAAAGGGGTAACAGGGTCAAGGAAACAGAAGGAATGTCAACATCCAACCCTCAGCCAGCTCCAGAAGCCGCAGGGGAGGACGGCGAGCCTCAGGCAGAAGCACTTTGAGGCAGGAGAGGAACACGGGGGTATCTTTGGTGAAGGCGTCAAACGACAGAGGTGCAGGATGGAGCTTGGAGGAATGTTTGGAGAGTGACCGGGCATTATTACCTGGGAGGCAGCTGGAGGCCAGGCAACTGCTAGGCTGACGACTCCGGGGCTCCAGCATCCTGCTTTCCTGGACGGATTTTGGTCCAGAGAGCTGAGGGGGCATGAAGTTAACCCCTAGGCCTCCCCAAAGGCAGCTGCCTTCAGAGGCCTACACTCACATTCTGGGGGAAACTGAGATTAGCATCTATGGGGAGCTCCAGACTGACCAGGGCTGGCAGACAGTCAAGGGAGGGGCTGGTTAATGGGTAATGAGACAACGAACTTGAGACTATGAAAAAGGCAGACCAGGCTCCATCAACAGAAGCTGATAGCACAGACACACCCTCCTCCTCTAGAGCCTTTGCTTCCCCCTTTACCTCCACCTCATCCCCATTCTCACCCTCTTGCCGACCTCCCCAAATTCCTTCTCCTTACCCCCATCTCTGGCTCCTCCTTCTGGGGGGCAATGTTGAAACTCTGGCCCCGGCCCCCCCACCACATTTCTCTGGCTCCATCCGGGGACGGAGCAGTTAAGGGTGGGAAACCTCAAGGATGCTCACCCCCCGGGGAGAGGCGAGTCTTGTTGACAAGAGGGGAGTTAAGGAGAGGGGGAGGGGGTCGGACACAGGGAGAGGAGCATTTGAGGTGCACGGAGCAGAGTTTGGAGGTCTTTGGAAAGGTGTGTCCAGCCCAGCCTGAGAAGTCTCCTCGGAAACTTCAGTCGACTCTGGAGAGGGCGGGAGAGATGCCCAGCCCCTTAAAGGAGAATACACACAATTCTGGAAAAGTGGAAACAGTGGGCTCTGAGACAGACGGGTGGGGGAGAAATGTGGCCTGAGACAAAAATACCTACTCCCTTCTTTACCCCAATCCCAGACCCTGTTCTCTTCCTGTTCATGAGTCCCAGAGATCATTTGAGGGGAGCAGTTCTGTCGATGATGAAACTGGAATAATTTGGGCTACCTCTCTGGAGTGTCTCAGTGATGACTTCCCGTAGAAGTCCAGCTCTCTTGTTGTCTCACAGGGGCTTGGGGAGGGGAGAAGGGTAGGAATGTGAAAGTGGTTCAAGCCTCCTTGCCACCTCTTCCAGAAAAAAATGAAAATTAGACCTGGGGTGATTTTTGTCAGGAGCAGCCCAAGCCTTAGGTGGGGAAGCAGGGAAACTGGTTACAGTGTTTTTGCATAACTTTCTGTAGAGGGTGTGAAACAGACATCATGTGAAGTGCGCAGTGGAGAAGTGTGAAAAGAGATGGAAATGTGTCCAAGATGCAGACCCAAGTACAGGTATGTTTGTGTGCAAGTCTTGGGCATGAGGGTGGGAGGTGCAAGGAAAACATCTTAGCAGTTAACCCTGCCCATCACGCAGCCACACAACCAATTGTAGGTGCTGATTCCCGTATGTGACTCCACCCCTCCAACCCAGACACCAGATCTCCAAATGAATGATTCATGTTCAGGACTTCCCAGGTGAGGGCTGGAAACCTCTTCAGCTCAACAGTCCATCTCCCATCCCTCCCATCTGCAACCCAAGAAGCAAAGATGAGTAAGGAAGGCTGGGAACAAGGACAGAAATCAAGGAGCTGCAGCTCCTTTAAAGGAGGGGGACTTGGGGACAGCAAAGCAAAAATCTTTATTTAGACATGAAAAAGACAGAAAATAAAATACAAAATAAGAGTTAATGAGCTGCTGTTTTATTGCTTTTGAATCTACAGAGGCAGCAATCCTTAGGTGGGGGCCCCAGTTTTCCAAAGTGACACTTGATTTTCTCCTCCCCTGGTACACCACCCTTCTGGCCTCAGCTTTCAAAGTTTCCTGTCTTGGCTGCAACTGTGGAAACAGTGAAGATATTGTGAGACAGGAAGTCAGTCTGGAACAAAGAGGAATACACCTGCTGGGACGGTGGCCCAGAAGCCTGAGTCTATTAGTCCTAAAGGCTACAGAGCACCCACCCCATCTCACTCCCATGCATTCCACGGGCCTCAACCTCTTGGGGGAAGAAAATACTTCCCAAGGTCTGTTGTAATAAGAAAATAGGGGCCAGGCGCAGTGACTCACGCCTGTAATCCCAGCACTTTAGGAGGCCATGGCATGCGGCAGATCGCTTGAGATCTGGAGTTCAGGACCAGCCTGGACAACATGGTGAAGCCCCGTCTCTACTAAACAAACAAAAATTAGCCGGCCTCGGTGGCATGCATCTGTAGTCCCAGCACTTTGGGAGGCCGAGGTGAGTGGATCACGAGGTCAGGAGTTTGATACCAGCCTGACCAACATGGCAAAACCCCATCTCTACTAAAAATATGAAAATAAGCTGGGCATGGTGGCACGCGTCTGTAGTCCCAGCTACTCAGGAAGCTGAGGCAGAATTGCTTGAACCCAGGAGGCTGAGGTTGCAGTGAGCCAAGATCGCGCCACTGCACTCCAGCCTGGGCAACAGAGCCAGACTCTGTCTAAAAAAAAAAAAAATTAGCTGGGAATGGTAGCTCACACCTGTAATCCCAGCTACTCCAGAGGCTGAGGCAGGAGAATCGCTTAGTGGAGGTTCCAGTGAGCCAAGATCTCATGATTATACTCCAGCCCGGGTGACAGAGCAAGCAAGACTCCCTCAAAAAAGAAAAAAAAAAAAAAAAATAGAAAGAGGTGTGTACTACAACTTTAAATCCCATTATCCACTTTCCTTCTCACCACCATCCTTCATTCAAGAGCCTCATTCTATTCTTTAGCACTTTGAAGTGTGGAGACAGTGGAGGAACACAGAGAAAAAAATTGGGGGCGGGGGTGGCTCATGCCTATAGTCCCAGCACCTTGGGGGGCTGAGGTGGGCGGATCACCTGAGGTCAGGAGTTTGAGACCAGCCTAGCCAACATGATGAAACCCCATCTCTACTAAAAAAAAAAAAAAAAAACTACAAAAATTAGCCAGGCATAGGGGTGGGTGCCTGTAATCCCAGCTACTCAGGAGGCTGAGGCAGAATTGCTGGAACCTAGGAGGCAGAGGTTGCAGTGAGCGCCATTGCACTTCATCCTGGGCGACAAGAGCAAAACTCCCGTCTAAAAAAAAAAAATTGGGGAAATCAGGGGGAGAAAAGAATTGGGCAATTTGGATTTGGATCAACACCTAATCAGGAATGGAATGGGCAGGAGCTGAGGGTTAAGACTCCTCTCACCACCCCACACATCCCCAGTAGAAGTACTAGATAAAGGGGAGGGAGGGTGGAAAGGCAAGGGACTGTATCAGATTTTTCCATTTTCAGAATCTTGGTCTGGCTGCAGGTTTGTGCCAGGAGTGAAGGCTGCTGGGAGGGGCAGCAGGAGGAGGGAGGTGGAGTTGAATGACTCACAAGATGAGTCATATATCCAGTTATAAGCACAGAAAGAGGCCAAGGTCCTTCCCACCCCCACTCCTCTTAACTACTGCCAGCCAGCTTCCGTTGCTCTTTTCTACCACCCCTTACCCACATGGCCAATGCAGAAGGTGGCACGGAGAAAGTCTATGTGGGGACATTATAATACTTTGTTACCCAATTGACATACAGGGGCAAAACATCCCGTGATTTGCAGACTGGATGTCTGCAAAGTGAGAGAGACAGAATGCCTACATGACTCATCCAAATCTACAGTTGAAAGGCCTGGTGGGAAAGAAGGGTATTAGACAAATCTGGAGTGCAGGTGATTCCAGGCTGGGAAGGTGTTTTTAAGTCTGTCTTCTTCTCACTTGTGGCTGTATGTCTGGGGCACTCACTCATTGGAGAAAGACAGAGGCCAGATGAGGTGGCTCATACCTGTAACCCTGGCACTTTGGGAGGCCTAGGCAGGTGGATCACCTGAGGCCAGGAGTTCAAGACCACCTGGCCAACATAGTGAAACACCATCTCTATTAAAATACAAATATTAGCCAGGCATGATGGCAGGTGCCTGTAATCCCAGCTACTCAGGAGGCAGAAACAGGAGAATCGCTTGAACCCAGGAGACGATGGATGCAATGAGCCAAGATTACACCACTGCACTCCAGCCTGGGCGGCTGAGCAAGACTCTGTCTCCAAAAAAAAAAAGACACAGAGTCCAGGGGTGTCTGAGTAATTCGAGGATAATCATCTCTTAAAGTACTGCTTTACTGAGAAAGAAAAACCTGACTGGAACTTTGGACACATGACTAGAAGGAGTAAGAATGGCCAAAACTAGGTTCTCAGAACACATTCAAATCCAGCTTCATTCTTGCGGGCTCAGTATCACCCCCCAGATATATAACACAAAGTCACTGCCAATTCTTGTCTGTGGGCTTTAGTTTTGCTTGAGGAAAAAAACAACTGAGCTCACAGAGGGAAGGTACTTTCCTTCCAAGGCCCTCTACAGCACTGAGCTTAACACCATCCCCGCTCCTTAAAAAGACTGAATCTTTAAAAAATCTTTTGATGTAACTTTTTATTTTGTTGATAAAAACCAGTATGGGGGAAAAACTTCTGGTTAAATCTAGTAACTTTCAATAAACGCAGCATAGGTTAAGGGAGATGTGGAGGCCTATCCTACAGTAATACTTACTCCATTGGAGACGGGGCAGAGTGTGGCAGGGAGGGAGTAGCACTAACATCAAAAGGAGAAAAACAAGAACCCTGAAAAAGCTTCCTCCATTAAAAACTTCAGCAGGTACCCCAGTTGCCCTGGATGAAAGGAAATAAGTGCACTTAAATTTAAGTCTGAGAGATGCTATCATCCCTCACCTACGGTTAAAGGGTCTGCCTTCTCTCTTCAGTCACATACTGCTCTGTAACTAAGGACTTTTCTGCCCATTTTGAGTGCATGTCACATGCCCCTTCTTTTCTTCTCCCCAGTCCAGTAAAGGCATGGGCTTGCCTCTTCTATTCCCTCCTCTTCCCCAAATACCACAAACCAAGCCGAGTCTACATTAATTTCCCAGGCATTATTCCTTCACCTCCCCAACATCCCACTGAGCCCTTTCCCCAAATAATGAAGCAAAACAGACTTCGCTATCTCCTACAAACATATATCCATTGTCTCAGGGTCTTTCATCCTTAGAATGGAGAGGTTTTTCAATGCTTCAATAAATAGTTACCTTCCCAAATAAAAAATAATTTATTTCTTAATAAAAAGCTATGAGGCCTAAAGCCCCATTTTACCGTAGTAATCCCTAGACCACCCTTCAAGATTTCCATCTTTTATTTGAAAAGGCGGCAAAAGGAATTGGGATTGGCTATTTATAAATAGAAACAAAAACAAACATGATACAAGGTTTTGTTTTTGTTCATTTGTCCTCGGTTTTTAAAAACAAAAGTATTAACTAGAATCTAATAAGAGATCAAATCCAAACACAGCAGTCCAGCGGAGAATCAAAACTTTTCTGGCTTTATTCTCTGGGAAAACCCCTGGTCTGTTTGAATTTCTGTTGGTCCAGGCCAGCATCCTATGGTATGAAGGCCTAAATTAGGAAAGCGAGGTGGGTTGGGCAGATTCAGGGTGTTTGAGCCCCCTGTTGTTTGGTGTGTGATGGGGGTGGAGGCGCACACAGTGTTCTCACTAGTGTTGTTCAAATCACAGAAATAGGGACGTAACTAGGGTGAGGTGAGCAAGGCAGTCACCTTGGGCACAAAATTTCAAGAGTGCCAAAAAACCCAATAACCAAGATGAATACTACTTTAATGCAACATTTTTAAAAAGTCAAAATTAATTCATCACTTTATCTTAAATATCCACAGGGGAAAAAAAATCAAAATTAATGTAAAAAAACTATGATGGAGAATGTATCAAATATTTAAATAAAGAGGATTCATCCTCAATTCAGCCTCACTTCCCTCCTCCTAATCCCAGTCCTGTCAGATCCTGTAAGATTTCACTATTTTATTCAACATAAATTTTTTAAAATACTGCATTTTTTTAAGTATGTTGCTGAATGAGGTTTATGGTGGCCCCTTACATTTTGCACCTTTGGGGAGTGCTCATCTCACACCAGGTTCCAGACCTGCCCATATACATATCCCTTCCCTTGGAATCTCACCGCTTCCTTAAAACAAACCTGTTTTCAAAGAAAAACCTAAGAATTAATAGCTATAGGAAATTAAATAGGTGACTTCTGAGATTGCTGAAGAGAAAAGAACCTTTCTAAACCGTGAGCATTCCCAACCAGGACAGTCTTGACTGGCTACCAAGAAGGAAGATGCACGCACGCACGCACTCATGCACGTGCAACTGCTTTAGATCAGATGTGGGGATTACATTCCATGGGATGAGTTCCAAGTACATACCTCAAAAGAGAAATCCAAACACAGAAAAACAGCCCGTTAACAAGTACACTTATTCCCCTTCCTCACATGCACCCGGGAGTGTATACAATTGCATAGTTGACTTTTTTTTCCCGGAAAAAAATATAAAGAAAAAGGAAACTAGGCCCAGGATGGGTCTTCCGGTTTAAAGCTCTTAGAAATGGCTCTGGCCAGAGCATAGGCTGTCCAGACTTGTGCTTTGTGCAAAATGCAAAGGAGCTCCCCCTACTGTGTCCACATCCCCACTCCCAGCCCCTGGAGAACAGGGATGGGTCAAGGAGAGGGAGAAATCTAAAGACAGATCAGCTCATTGGGAGTTATCTGTGCTCTGTGGTTATAGTTCACTAAAATATATTTCTCTAACTACCTTTTTATAAATTGCCCCTAATCCCCACCCCATATTTCAACATCAGTCCTAATATCAAAAATATCTCTTCTTACAAAGTATTTTTTATTTTAATAAACTAACCACAGATTAAGGTCAGCTATGGCTTAACAAAAGAAGCCGGGATGTTAAAGTTCATTCTCCAAAAGTAGAGAAAAAGGAGAAGGAACCACTTAAGTAGGAGAAAAAAATCTTTTTTTAAAATGTTTTTGCTTGTTGGGGTCTTTTTGTTTCTTTTCCTTAAAAAAAAAAAAAGTCAATAAAATAAATTCTTTCTACAGAAATGCAGCAGCCACAGAGGATGGTAGTGCTCTATTTAGGTTTTTGGTTTTGTTTGAAACAATCTGGCTAAAATGTCTGTTCTCCCACCCCTCCCAAGGTGTGCTCAAACCCCAATGTATGGTTATTGCTATGGTTAAGAAATAGATCACCTCTGCCCCAATTCACCTGGAGAAAATGCAACACACGACTACTCTTCTCACCACACTCTTCCCTTTCCCATAGGGAGCTTAAAAAATACAATTAAAGATTTAGATGAGGAAGATGGGGGGTAATCAGCAATCTCTTCTCAAACTGTAACAGATGACACGACTGGAAGGAAATAAAGCTTAAGAGGAAAAGGATTTCCCTTTTAAGTTCCTCCCTTTCCCATCTCAACCAATGGATTTAAACTACCCCCACCTCCTAACAGGCACCCATGTGCACACATTACTGCCTTGTCTTTCCAGATCCTTCAAGGGGAAGAATTTATCCAACCCTAATTTCTACCTTAATTCAAATCAATAGCAAATGTGTCCAATTTCCCGCTTCCCCTCCACACTTCCCACTCCACCGCCATGTGCTTTCCCCAACCTAAAGAACTTTGGTCTATTTTTTATTTACTGAGAACTTCCTTTGCCCATTTCTCCCCAAGACTTCTGCCCACCTCCCACCCCCACACACCAAACCTTCTCATACTACTTTCTCTTAGGTCCTTGGATGGGACCCAGGAGGTTATAAGACAGAATCGCCATCTTTCCCCCTTGTACCTCAGTCCCATAAAGTCAAGCTCTGCAGAGAAATAGTGCAGCCCTTGAGGCGCCATCCAGCCCCAACCTGCTCCTGCCAGCCCGGCAGCACTCCTGTGCGCACATACTTAAAAGTTTCCAGCCAGGCTCCCACAGACATTACTGCATTTGCCCCATCAGTATGGGGACTGTTCTTGATGAGCCAATTAGTTGAGCTTAACTTTGTTTAGCCCCCTTGCCCTTCAGTGCTCCAGCTGCTCAGAACCTGTGCACCAGGAGCTCCCCACCCGGCTCCCGCTCCCTCCGCCTCAGTTCTTCCCTGTAACAACAGGAACAGAAGTTGTTTGTCTCGGGGTGTCCATAGAAGCTGCAGTTCGGTTGTTTGCATTTGGTCTGGGTGGGGGGAAGCCCCCGGAGACCTCCAGCCCATCCATCTGGCTCAGGGGGTTCTCTGTAGCCATTGCTATAGGAATCAGCCACTCGGTAGGAGGGTGGTAACAATGCACCCCTGTGAACTCCATCCTTAGACTGACTGCCTGGCTCCAGAGAAGAGATGCTGTCCTGGTGGGGGTAGGGTCGCCCAGGAGGGCACTGTCTGGGGAAGGTGGCATATGGTGGTAGGCCTCCGACACATGGACCCCCTGCCAACTGCCTCCGGGGTTCCTGGCAGTGGACTCCACCCCCAGAAGGCCGAGGGATAGTAAAGCCCCCAGGGTAGCCAGTAGAAAATGCCATTGCCTTGGACTCTGCTGGGGGGCCAGTCAGCTGCTCCTCCCCAGCATCTGGCTCTGGCTTTTTGGCTGGAGGAGGGCCACCCCCTATTCCTCCATTCATGATCTTCCTCTCTGCCTCTTTCTGCTTCTGTTCTGCCAGGAATCTCTCCTCAGCATCAGAAAGGTAGCGCTGGATCATCTCCTCCTGATACTGGTGACGGTGACCCATCTTCAGGGTTCCAACAAAAATAAACTTCCCCTCCCCTTGCATGGCAGTCCTCAGAATGCTTAGGCTCTGCATCACCTCCTGGCTATACTTGCTCCCTCCGTTACCAACAGACTCAGCTGGGGGCTTCTCAGACACAGGCCCATCCCCAGCTGCCTCCTCCTTGCCACCCTTCCAGCTCTTCAGTGCGTTTTTCTTCTTCTTCTCCAGTGTCTCAGTGCCACTGCTTCCCCCTGACCCTGTCCCCACCCCTCCAGGTTTCGAACCCTTGCCATGCATCAGGCCCCCCATGTTCTTTTTGAGCTTGCTGCCCAAGGTTTTGCCAAAGCTGCCCAGTTTGTTAGCCACAGAGTCTGCTCTCTTCTTGTCCTTCTCCCGATCTCGCTTTGACTTCTCCTTTCGCCGGCCGCCCTCATTGCTGGTGGAGCTGCTGCCAACTGACTCCTTATCTGAGTCTCCAGACTCAGGAGTGGACCGGGGCTCATCTCCCGCTGAGGCGGTGGGGGACTCAGGCTGGGCCAGAGGAGCCTGGAAGAGACAAGAACACTGTTGACAGTTATCCCAGCAGGCTGGGGTGGGGGAATCCCACAGGAACCTCTAGCCCATCAATCTGGCTCACTCAGGGAGCTCCCTGCAGCCATGGCTGTAGAAATTAGCCAGGAAGAAGGGTGGACCCCTATGAACTCTGTCCTTGAAGTGACTGCCTAGCTCCAGAGAAGGGCTGCTGTCATGATGAGGAAGGGTCACCCAGGGTGGCACTGTCCTTTCTGCGTTCCAGTCAGTCAGCTTTCTCACCCACTGCAATCTGACTCCCTTCTATAATAAGGAGGTAGCAGAATAAAACATTTCTGCTCATTTAGAACAATGAGCAACCACACGACACATGGCTTCTGAGTGAGAGGCCCAAACACTAGAATGTTATTATAAATTTCTCTGTCAAATTCTGCTCGAAACTAATCTCAAGAAAGTCTCGACTAATCAGTACCAACCAAGTCTAGCCACTTGATATCCTCTAAACTTTTTTTTTTTTTTTTGAAACAGAGTCTTGCTCTGTCGCCAGGCACCAGGCCGGAGTGCAATGGCACGATCGAGGCTCACTGCAACCTCCACCTCCCGGGTTCAAGCAATTCTCCTGCCTCAGCCTCTCAAGTAGCTGGGACTACAGACGCACGCCACCACGCCCAGCTAATTTTTGTATTTTAGTAGAGACGGGGTTTCACTATGTTGGCCAGGATGGTCTCGATCTCTTGACCTCGTGATCTGCCTGCCTCGGCCTCCCAAAGTGCTGGGATTAGAGGCGTGAGCCACCGTGCCCGGCCTGCATCCCCTCAACTTTTATACGTTCTGCACTGGACTTCATCAATTTGCCCTTACTCCTGTGCTCCTGTTCTAACTCAGAACTCACTGAATTAGGAGTTCTTTAAGCTACTCTGTTTCCTAGTGCCCAAAACAGAGGTCTATCTACAGAAGACTTGGGACAAAATAATGATCATCTCAAGTTCAACACACAGTCCAGAAAACCTTTCTTAAAGAATATGCTTTAGAGGTTGGACACAATGGCTCATGCCTATAATCCCAGCACTTTCAGAGGCCGAGGTGAGCGGATCATGAGGTCAGGAGTTAGAGACCAGCCTCACCAACATGGTGAAACACCATCTCTACTAAAAATACAAAAATTAGCTGGGCGTGGTGGCAGGTGCCTGTAATCCCAGCTACTAGGGAGGCTGAGGCAGGAGAATTGCTTGAACCTGGGAGGCAGAAGTTGGAGTGAGCCAAGATCATGCCATTGCACTCTAGCCTAGGCAAGCAAGACTCCATCTCAAAAAATAATAATAATAAAAAGAAGATATTTTAGTATCAGATCACAGAGCCTGGTTGGAGAGGAGATGTGGAAAACAGGAGACTAATGGTTTTTAAAAAGCAGGAAAAGGCCAGGCACAGTGGCTCACACCTATAATCCTAGCACTTTGGGAGGCCAAGGAAGGTGGATCACCTGAGGTCAGGAGTTCGAGACCAGCCTGGACAACATGGTGAAACCCTGTCTCTACTAAAAATACAAAAATCAGCTGGGTATTGTGGTGCACATCTGTAATCCCAGCTACTCAGGAGGCTGAGGCAGGAGAATAGCTTCAACCCGGGAAGCAGAGGTTGCTATAAGTCAAGATTGTGCCACTGCACTTCAGCCTGAATGGCAGAGCAAGACTCCCTCTCCAAAAAAAAACAAAACAAAACGCAGGAAAGGCTGGTCACAGTGGCTCACACCTGTAATCCCAGCACTGTGGGAAGCCGAGGCAGGCAGATCATCTGAGGTCAGGCATTTGAAACCAGCCTGGCCAACATGGTGAAACCCCTCCTCTACTGAAAATACAAAACTTAGCCAGGTGTGGTGGCGCATGCCTGTAATCCCAGCTACTCAAGAGGCTGAGACAGGAGAACTGCTTGAACCCAGGAGGCCGAGGTTGCAATGAGCCGAGATCATGACATTGCACTCCAGCCTGGGTGACAGAACAAGACTCCATCTCAAAAAAAAAAAAAAGCAGGAAAAAGTGTCTTTGAAACTTATTTGACATCTTCTAGTTACTTCCAACCTTGAATTGTAAGCTACCACTCAGAACAGATTCAGAAGGAAATGGCGCCAGATCTGTTCTGTCACTGAAAATGAGGACACACCAGGGTAGATGTGTGTGGGATAAGTCTTCACCTGTGCATCAGGGGACAGTGGGATCCACTTCACATTCATGTAGCTATGTAGCAGATGTAATTTGACCTCTAGAGACAGAATTACACTATGAAAAAGAGAAAAAAAAAAAGAAAAACTTACTTCGACCTTTTAAAAGCAAAGCAATGTGCTACAGTTGGGAGGAAGGGTGGGAGAGGGTCACATGGCTTGGGACTCAAGTAGGGCTGGGTTTGAAATATTTCTCCACCAATTACTGAGCTTTATGACCTTGAGCAAGTCACTTCAAACTCCCTGAAACTCAGTTGCAGCTGAGAATGGTATAGATAGCATCTATTCTGTGGGCCTGTTGTAAAGATAAAATAGTGTTTGGGAAGAGCCCAGCACAGTGTCTGGAAAAACGGGAAATACTAGACAGTAGCCATTATAATGTTGTTGTTGCAAACATTATTTACAAGGAGCTTTAGATAAATAGGTGAGAGCTTATTTTTAAAAAGCCATAAACTCTGGATTTGAAAATCAAACTCTCTTAGCTGTGACCTAGTGGCAGGAGCCCAGAAAAGGAAGCGCTGGGTAAGTGTTAACGGAGGAGGTTTCGCATTCATATACTCTCCAGCAGGAAGCTGAGGCAGGAGGCAGGAGGCAGGCTTAACAAGCCACAGGGAGGTGGACTGGGGGCTGGTCAGGGAGGGAACGGATTTTTCTTGCTATTAGTTTACATTTCAGAGGCAAAAACTCAAAGCAAACTATTTTGATCAACTCTTTAAAACCCCTCTCACTTGTGCTGAGATAAGACATGTGACTTGATTATCCTGATTTTCTGGCCACTGTTTTAGGGACGTATCAGTGTGCGAATACTTTTCCTATTGTAAAGAAAGAACAAGTTGATATCCCAGGATTCCCATCTCTTTCCAGGCAGAAAAAAACAGCTGCACAATGAAAGAGTCCTGGTGCCCAACCTGTCTTCCACCTCTCCATCTTCCCAAAGAAACTGGCCTTAGCTTGTGACTGTCTTGCCTGAGCTGAGAAAAAATCCCTGGCATATGGGATGCTGCATGTGGAAGAGATCCCAGCTACAAAGTAGATGAAAAGACTAGGCCTGGCTTACCTGGCCAATCGGACATTGTCACTGTCATCTTTGCCCCACTCCCAGCCCTTTCCAGGGTCCACAGCAAAGTGCAGAGGCAGCAGCTTATACTCTGAATCTGTAAGCGGGATCACAGCTGGGGAGGAAGAAACATATCATCAAGGAGTCTCCTTGAGGAGAGAGAAAGGCAACTGAACACAGACTTACTTCACTAAAATCATACTAAGGTCTTTAATTGTGGTCACTTCTCAATTCTTACATGTGAATTACCCGGGCATTAACACCAATTGGCTAGTTTTCCCCCTACCATGCGGCATACTCTTTAGGCCACAAATCTCCCTGAGTCCCCACCAGTCAGTCAAATAACTCTCATGATGTTCTTTCCAGTTAACGTATATTCAGATAATTCAGTCATAATTTAAGATAAACATAGCAAACCATCATTTAGAAGGTCCTACCACCTTAATCATAAGCCTTTACTCCAGAAGAGGGAATACGGGTCTTGCCTTTCTCCCAAAATTTTTTTTTTTTTTTTTAATTTGGAAACTCTGACATAACTTATACCTTTATAAAACTGTCAACACGAGCTGTCTGGGCTTGCATGCCACTGAATTCTTTCCTCCTACATAGATCTCATTCCATTTTATCTAAATGAATATAGTGCAGACCAAAAGACACATCATTCAGCACCTTGTTCCTTGGTATTCTCCTTCTGCTCCATGGACACGAGTGCAGAAAAGTGGGCCTGATCATAGGCGAGCACCAGAGGGGAGCGGTGACACTGGCTGGCTGGGACCTCCAAGGGCAGATAGATTCCTCCGAAAGGAATAGGGGCAAACGCTGCAGGAAACCATGAAGATTATTGCGAAGGCTGTGTTTCTGCCTAGTGGACAATCCTTCACCCCACTCTGCCAACTGAGTCCCCACTGTCATTCCAACAAGCTTAATAATTCTTTCCTAAGAACCCCTGTGAATTAATCCCAACTGCTTTACTCAGAACCTCTTGAGAATTTTGTACTATTCTGATACCTTGCTTTTTCCCCAGGGGTCTATATATCCCATTTCCCCTTTCCTTCCAATGCTTAGCCTGAGGCTTTGCAAAAGGGATTGTTCAGGATGGAGTGAGGACTGACTAGCTGACTCACCTTCCCCTCCAGAGTCCCTCAGCATGGTGTCTGCCACGACGACTATGGGCCTTCTAAGCACATGAGCCAGGACAAAGACGTGAAACTCTTCAAGGCTTTCATATACAGGCTCCTCAGAACTCTCCACCCTGGAATGGCGGGAGGGGAGAGAGTAGAAGGGGTGTGGTAGAAGTGAGAGAGAGAAACCCCGAAGACCAGTTCTGCAGAAAGGGAGAAGGAGAATTGTCCTTTCCTGGCTTTCTAGCCAGTCTTACGGCTGCACTGATACAGCTGATTATTTTGTGCTACCATGGCTGTTTCTACTTCCGTCTCACAGATGGGGAAATCCAAGAAAAGAGATTTGAAGGCTCTGGGGTTACAGCAATGTTAGGAACTTTGAGGTAATCCCATCTCTCAATATACGTCCTGTTCAATGGCCTCTCTCCATTTTCTTTATCCAGCAGCTCAATACACAACTGCATAACTTCATCCTACTAACCACCCACACACCACACTCATGTCTTACAACAAAAGCCAAGTACAATTCCTTCCTGTGTTCCCTCATTGAAAGAACAACCTCACCATCTACCCCGTAGCCTAATCAGAAATCTGTGAACGATTTCTTGTGCTTTATCTCTCACCTTCCAGTAATCACCTGGTTTGACCAATGCCATCTCCTACGCGTTTCCTGTCTCCCCTGGCCTATCTTCAGTCCACCATGCTGTTCACATCTGTGGCCTCTTCCTGGATTACTACAACTGCCTCTTATCTCACTCCCTTCCACTCCTTATCCACTGGCATCAGTGTGTTCAAATATGGAGTGACAAATTTGCTCCTGTCATTCACATACTCAATATTCAATGGCTTCCACCCCCTAAAGCAATTTTATTCAACATTGGATGCTTATTACAAATGAGGATTTCTGGGCCTTAGCTCTGTCCAACTCAACTGGACTTTTCTGGGGTGGAGATCCAGAAATCAGCATTTGAAATAATTCTCCCAGATTATTCGCATGTATAATAAAATCTGGGTAGTTTAGAATTTTTAACTACTATGGAAAATTTCAAAATTGTAAACACGTTCAATACTAGAAATGATAACATATTCAATTGTCACATTTCCACCACCCAGCTTCAACCTCGTTTCACCTACACTCAGTCGATTTCCCTATCTCCCCCACTATGGGGCTCTTGCAAGACTATTTTGAAGCAAATCCTGGAGATTATATAATTTCATCCATTGTATTTCAGCTTCTATCTCTGAAAAATAAAGGACTGCCTTTATAAACAACCACTATACCATTAATATCATACTTTAAAATGTTAACAATAATTAAACACACAGACATTATTCACATTTCCTTAACTGTCTTATAATCTCCACACATCCCAACTGGTTGACGTCTTTTTTTTCTTTTAGCTACAGGGGTCTCTCTTTGTTGCCCAGGCTGGAGTGTAGGGGTGCCATCACAACTTAGTGCAGCCTTGACCACCCCAGCTCAGGCAATCCTCCCACCTCAGCCTCTCAAGTAGCTGGGACTACAGGCATGCACCACCATGCCTGGCTAATTTTTTTTGTAAATATGGGGTCTCACTGGCCAGGCATGGTGGCTCACACCTGTAATCCAGCACTTTGGGAAGTTGAGGTGTGTATATCACTTGAGGCCAGGAGTTCAAGACCAGACTGACCAAAATGGTGAAACCCCATCTCTACCGAAAATATGAAAATTAGCTGGGCGTGGTGACACACACCGGTAGTCCCAGCTGCTTGGGAAGCTGAAGCAGAAAATTGCTTGAACCCAGGAGGCAGAGACTGCAGTGAGCTGAGATCACACCACTGCACTCCAGCCCACACAACAGAGAGAGAGCGAGAGAGAGAAAGCGAGAGCGAGCGAGCGAGAGAGAGAGAGAGAGAGAGAGAGAGAGTGTGTGTGTCTCACTGTGTTATCCAGGCTGGTTTCAAACTCCTGGGCTCAAGCAATCCTCCTGCCTCAGCCTCTCAAAGTTCTGAGATTATGGGCATGAGATAAGACACTCAGCTTGACATATCTTTTCAGTGCATTTAAACTTGTAAGTTCCTTGTCCCTTTTTATTTTCCTTGTAGTTTACTTACTGAAAATACTGGGTCATTTGTCCTGAAGTTTCCAAAATCTAGACGGGCTACTTTGTATTTCAGTACAATAGTGAACTACCTGTAGTTCCTAAACATATCATGTGCCCTTAGCATGGCTCCTCTCTTTCCTTCTGATATCCTCCTAGCACAGAGCTCTCTAAACACTATGCTGTGGAAGCCCAATGAGGATTTAAGATTTCCTGCTCCCCCACTTAGCCCTACTTACCCACCACAGTTGGCTCCATTGGTACCGAGATGCATTCGGGGTTCACTGGAGGCAAGCTTGATGAGTTCATTCCACTCCTTCTGCCATTCATCCTCTGTATATACCAGCCCCGACTGTGTGAAGGACAGGCAGGAGACACTGAGCAATCAGAGGCTGGGTTTTAAGAGGCAATATCCATTCTACCTTATTCACTGTTACTCCACTGTCTAATCGATTAGCACTTGGTCTACAAATTGTACTACCAAGTCAAATGTCTTCCCTCTTTCATAGTCAAGATCTATGAGAACAATCCATGATCTTTTTCACATTTCTTTATCACCTATTCTGTTTTGACCTATTGCAATCTGGCCTCTGTTTCTGCCCTCCATCCTGCTTTACCACCTGCCACATACCATTTCAACTGCCTGATTTTGGCAAAGAAAAATGACCTTCTAATTGCCAAATTCAGTGAACCCTGGTTCTCATCTTCTTTAGCCACCACGTGGCTTATTTTCCTCTTTAAATTTTCTCTGCCTTTATCTTCCATAAAATTACTTTTTATTTCTCTGAACTCCGTGTACCTCCAAAATACTAGTGGTGTGTTAATGATTTTCACCTTGGTTCCCTCTGGGTGATCTCTTCTACTGCCATAATCTCACCCACTACCATATATATGGCTCATGACTCCAAAATCTCCCTCTCCAGCCCAGACTTCTTCATTTCTTTTTTTAGACGGAGTTGCCCAAGCTGGAGTGCAATGGCTCACTGCAACCTTCACCTAATCTCCGCTCACTGCAACTTTCACCTCCCGGGTTCAAACAATTCTCCTGCCTCAGCCTCCCGAGTAGCTGGAATTACAGGCACCCATCACCACGCCCAGCTAATTTTTGGTATATTTAGTAAAGACAGGGTTTCCCCATGTTGGCCAGGCTGGTCTCAAACACCTGACCTCAGGATCTCCCTTCCTCAGCCTCCCAAAGTGCTGGGATTACAGGTGTGAGCACCGCACCTGGCTGGCATTAACTGCTATAGAGACTTCTATCGTAACAGGCATACATGTCATAACCTGTTGCAATTACGCATTTACACGTCTGTCGCCTCCTCTACTCTAGGATCATGTTTCATGCAATACATCCAGGGCCTATGTTGTGACTGAAATCAATAAATATGTGCTAAGTGAAACTACAATTTTTACCAAGGAGAGCAGGCAGTGGTACAAGCAATTTAAAAATATATTGGCTTTAGGACGTATATAATGATATGGGAAATAAGTTTACCATATTAATTTTATTTGGCTGACATTAGTATTAAAATGGGTCTACACTGCTTAACTGCACACTGACAAGAGTAGAAGGAATCTCTGGAAACATGAGGGGCACTGGGAACAAATTTAATGGGAATTTTTTAAATGACAGTTATTTTCAATTTGTAAAATGCTATCACAAATTTTACTTCAATTAAAAACAAAGAGAGTAATACCCAGTTTCTATATGAAGTGCTGCAGTCAGTCCCATGGACACATCCAGAGGGATCCGGCTCCCTCTTCCTCGCGTTTCTGCTTCTTGTTTTAACGTACATAGCCACTAGGTGGCGTACACTTCTAGCCTTAACATGTAAGAAACTATTACTGAGCCTCACGACCAATTTCAACACAAAACAAGGAAGCTCAGGAAATCAAAACTTATTTAGTGTGGTTTTAGTACTGGGAAGCTAAAGGACGCTTCCGCAGTTCATCACCTCCATCCTCCCATCCCCACTCCCCAGGTGGGTATAATGCTATGAATGGTTTGAGCTAAGACAATTATGAAGCCCACATTTTCAATATGAACTTTCAGTGTGCTGAGCGGAAGGAGTAAAAGGATTGCTCCATTACTAGCCACTATTCTCTATGCATATGAGGGACTTTGAGACAGAAAGGCCGGCTGGCCAAGGATAGAACTTGGGTATTTCTGGGTCTCCTGGCCAAATACCATTATAATCTAACCCCAACTTTAGAATAGTAACTATAATTCCTTTAACAACTGGAATAGGGCACTCTTACGCTCTGGCTGTTGCTGTCATTTCTACTTAGTAGTTGGCATGCTCTGGTTTGGCCTTTTCCTGCCTCTGCAGTGGTTAAGGTTCCACTATGATCTGAACTCAACAGTGAAGAAGCCAAAGCTGACTACTGATTTGCTTTGGGTTCTAAATTCTAGGCTAGCTCTAGCTCAGGCAAAAGCTTTCCACAACACCCAGCCAAGCTTTTGGTGCTAACAAAGAATGTCACTTCTGTGGCCTTGCCCCTGTGGGTTGATTTCCCTTAGAAATCTTCTGGGGAAGACTGGCTGCTCAGAGACAGGATTCTGATCTTAATATCTCCTACTTTTAACAACTGGCTTATTTGTTTTTGAGGAAGAAACATAGCATGTTCTACTGACATATTACATCTTCAGGACATAAAATTCTAAATAACTAAAACAAAAAAAAAACCTCTTCTATATTATTGTCAGTTATGACAGAACAATAAAATGAGAAAAAAGGAAAGGTGGACAAAAAAAGGAAAGCTTCTAGAGAGACATTACCATATTCAATGTCAGCAAGATCCAGTCATAACATGGCAAAAAAATAAATATACATGAAGAGCAGGAGATACAAACACAGTACACAGAATCAGAGGGAAAGGAAGTAGGGAGCCTCATTATTTTTATGTAAAGGCATCATGCCATCATTGAAGGGAAGTAATCAGCAAACTTTTTCTGTAAAGGGCTAGATAGTCAATAAGTATAGGCTTTGCAGGCCACATGTTACGACTCCGCTGTTAGAGGAAGAAGGGCATTACAGGTGTAAACATCCAAGAAATGCACAGGGCTGTATTCTCATAACATTTTTTTTTTTTTAAGATGGGGTTTCACCATGATGGCCAGGCTGGTCTTGAACTCCCGACCTCAGGTGTTCCACCCACCTCGGCCTCCCAAAGTGCTAGGATTACAGACGTGAGCCACAGCGCCCAGCTTTTTTTTCTTTTCTTTTTTTTTTTTTTTTTAACAGAACAGCCATAGTTTGCCCAACCACTGTTATAGTGAGGGCAAGTACACACAGTCCACTGTTACTTATGTAGCAGCGGCCTGAACATCTGTCACACGCCTGAGAAGTACTGTTCAAACTCAATGAAACAGGTATGTGTTTTGTGTGTGATTAGAATGCTGCCTCCTTATGCTTTTTAGAACTTAAAATAAACTAAAACTGAGTATATAAAAAACAAATGGTATATATGTCCAAGAAGATTTTTAAGCATTCACATTCCTATAAGGGCTGGAAACACAAGTCTTTAAAAATTGATCTAGCCTTATTACAAGCAAAAAAAAAAAAAAAAAAAAAAAATTCAAAAATCCTATGGAATTGTCATAACTCATTTTGCAAAATACTGCCACTAAAGTTGTAAAGCACCTATCGGGGGGAGAAGCACAATGTTAGATACCTCTCTGTAGGTCTTATGCCCATCACCAGTTCTCATGACCATATAAAAAGGCATTTACCCCATGGTGTTAACTGCATTTTCTCCAATTTTCAGGATCATAAGGGAAGTCGCACTGACCTAAGCACCTGGAAATATTTTCTGCTGGCAGGCACCATGGGGCTTTGGCAGCTAGGTAACTTTAGGAAACAAGGTGTTCCCACCCAAGCTCTCCCACCTCTTTATTCTGCTGTGTCTGCTGCCACCTCCAGCGCCTTTTCAACGCTTCCTTCTCAACTCCCTTCTCCATCAGTGCATACAAAGCTTTTCGCAGCATCAAGTCCCGATCATGGAAACCCCACATCCCTGTAGCAAGAAAGCATAATGGTAAGATACCTCAGCTTGATTCTGCTAATGTTTGTATTTTTAGTAGAGACAGGGTTTCACTATGTTGGCCAGGCTGGTCTTGAACTCCTGGCCTCAAGTGACCAGCCTGCCTCACCCTCCCAGAGTGTTGGGATTACAGGTGTGAACCATGGCACCTGGTTGCAAATAATATACTGAGTTGTAAATTGGCTTTTTTTTTTTTTTTTTTTCTGAGACAGAGTCTTGCTCTATTGCCCAGGCTGGAGTGCAGTGATCTCGGCTCACTGCAACCTCCGTGCCCCCTGGATTCAGTGGTTCTCCTGCCTCAGCCTCCCTAGTAGCTTGTATTACCGGTGCCCACTACCATGCCCCACTAATTTTTTTTACTTTTAGTAGAGACGTGGTTTCACCATGTTGGCTAGGCTGGTCTCGAACTCCTAGTCTCAAGTTATCTGCCCACCTTGGCCTCCCATAGTGTTGGGGTTACAGGTGTGAGCCACTGGCCACTGTGCCTAGCCCTTACTTTAAGTTATTAAGCCTATTTATAGCACAGCACAGTGGCTCCCACCTGTAATCCCAGATACCTGAGAGGCTGAGGCAGGAGAATCACTTGAACCCAGGGGCAGAGGTCCAGCCTGGGCCACAGAGTGAGACTCCATCTCAAAAACTAAATGGGCCAGGCACAGTGGCTCATGCCCATAATCCCAGCACTTTGGGAGGCCGAGGCAGGCGGATCACAAGGTCAAAAGATCAAGACCATCCTGGCCAACACAGTGAAACCCTTCTCTACTACAAATACAAAATTAGCTGGGCATGGTGGTACACACCTGCAGTCCCTGCTACTCGGGAGGCTGAGGCAGGAGAATCCCTTGAACCTGAGAGGCAGAGGTTGCAGTGAGCCAAGATGCACCACTGCATTCCAGCCTGGTGACAGAGCGAGACTCTGACAGAGCAAGACTTGGTCTCTAAATATATAAATAAGTAAGTGTGTGTCACAAAGGACTGCTAAAACCATATCTTTTTCATACACCAAAAGAATAAATATTAAGCAGAACTGAACACATACACACATCTAGCTATACATTGCTGGCTTGCTCCTACTCATTACTCCGTGGGTCAGCTCTCAGAGCCGGCCCAAGCCAATACCTGTGCTTCCTTCACTATCTAACTAGCAAAAGTACAGTTCACTCCCATTTCCTCTTGCGCCAACATAAACACGCACACATACACACACACGCACACACACACACATACACACACACACACACATACACAGTTGATCTGAACCATCACTTCTGCCTAAGATCAAGGTTGTCTGGATGGAGCCCCACACATGAGATTTAACTCCATTGCTTCCTTTCTGCAGGAGAATGGAGTACTGCTTTCAAGACTCACCAAGGGAGGCTGCATGCAAGAGGCAGTTCCCATCTCCAGTTGTTGCCAAAGGAAGCAGCCTCTGACAGGTGGGATCCACACTCACCCACCAGTTCAATCGCCCTATAGAAAGAAGATCGTGGAGAAAAAGGAGTAGATGATCCATGAAGCCCTTCCCACTGTATTTCTAAAACAGACTCCAAAGCAGCCTCCTCTAGGAGGCCTACCAAGAATAAAACCATCACTCGATTACTCTTTACATCTTCTTCACTTATATTGAGTCAGTCAGAAACTTGTGAGCACAATTGTCTAGATCAGTGAGTAGATCAATTTTGTCCCAAAGGGACACTGGCAATGATTGAAGATATGTTTGCATGTCACAACTGGTAGGGGAATCCTACTGGCATCCAATGGGCAGAGGCCAAGGATACTGCTAACCATGATATGATGCACAAGGCAGCCTGCAAAACAAAGAATTATCTGGACCAAAATGTCGATAGTGCCAAGGTTGAGAAACCCTGGGTTAAATGGCGAGGCCAAGGACATAAGTTGAAACTGCTGACTGCTTGGACTGTCTCTGATTCCTTCCCTCCACTCAGGAGACCAGTATATTTTACAGCAACAAAGTTCAGCAAAAATCCAACATGAACAAAACAAAAACAACTCAAAGCATGTATTTAAAGTGTCTTATGAGTACCATCTGCATATATGACAGCACGTCAGCATGTGTGGGGTATGACTTCAAAAAGCATAAGCAATAAGACAAAGTACATGAAATACCCAAGAAAATACGTCGTGATTCCGTACAGTCATCCCACAGTTGCCAACCCATTATTTACATGAGGAAAATATTTTATGTTGAACTACTGTGGAGCCTAGTTTCTTGAACTACTTAAAGAAAAAGTGGCTTATAATCTCCCCAGCTGTGATAATTTATTAACTTAAAAAAAATTACAAATTTCTGGTCACAACAAAGCTTTCTTATCAGGAAAAAAAATTACAAATAGATGTGGTTAGAAGGTTACAAAATGAAAAATAAAAGCTTCCTTTCACACCCCCATCTAACTCCAGTTCTTCTCCCATGCAAGCATTTTAATGCCTGATAAGCTTTTCCAGAACTTCCAGCTGCCTCACTCTATGACAACAATTAATTTTAATAATAATTTAAGATAAACACAATTACAAAGGTAAATACATTTGGGGGGACAGGTTCACTACTATGCATCATCTACAGCATTAACCATTTCTGTTCACAAGGGTATTCCAGGGCCAATTATAATTGGCTATATTTTTTTCTTTTTTTTTTTTAAGACGGGGTTTCACCACGTTGGTCAGGCTGGTCTTAAACTCCCAACCTCAGGTGATCCGCCCATCTTAGCCTCCAAAGTGCTTGGATTACAGGCGTGAGCCACCACGTCCGGCCAGTTGTATTTTTTCATGCATTGATTTCGAGTATTGATTCCTAGGCCTTTGCATATGTGTATCTGGTTTCTCTTTCAACAAACAGGAAGTTTCCAGAGTAAAGTATCTAATCTGTGCCCTTTCTTTAACGTCAGGACAAGTTCATCCCACTGACTCCTGACTTTGACTGCAGTCAGATCACACACTGGATCTACTGATCCACAACTGGAAGCTACTGATCAAGCCCAGACCGTCCATATGGCTGCCTGTGGGTGGGCAGAGTAGAGGGGAAAAGCGTGGGAAAGGAAGAACTCACTGACCTGCCTGTTCCAAGGCAACCAGCATGGACTGCTCAATGAGATCTCTCTCTATGAAGCTGCGGAAGTCTTCATTATACACAGTAAGATCTGGAAGCTGGAAGGCACAGATGGGCATTTCCAGGGGGTGCTCATTGCTCCCCCCACCCCCACCATTGGAGGAGACATGGGACCGGGCCAGGGAAACAATGCTGGAGCTGGCGTGGGAGATGCCCCTAGACAGGCGTTTTTCTGCAATGAGAAATGGAGTCACCTTAGAATGTACACAGCCCACTTGGAGAACTCTCCAGTTGATGCGCTGATAGTTACCTCTCAAATGGGTTTACAGTCAGAGAGAAACTAAGTCTGACTGACTGCTGAATTTCACAGCCCTTTTTCTGCAATGAGAAATGGAGTCACCTTAGAACATACACAGCCCACCTGGAGAACTCTCCAGCTGATGCGCTGATAGTTACCTCTCAAATGGGTTTACAGTCAGTTTCACAGCCCTTTTTCTGAAGCCAATTGTTTGGAGAAATATAGAAAATATTGTGCAGGCACTCACATTAGCACCAAATATCCAATCCTCTTTCTACTCTTGTCTGGAATTTGCCTCGTCTTCCCCTCCCTCTGACTCTGTCTTCCTCCACTTCCATTTTCCAATGTGATAGGGAGGGACCCATTCATTTAGCAAGTTGGTCATTGTTTGGTGAGAGGAGAAGGGAATAACGGAAGTGAGGTTTCACTGGAGTCAGTCAAATAATCTCTCTGGTAATTCTACAGGTCTTGGACAGCACCTTTTCTATAATGGAAATCTTTTTCCATTATAGAAAAGAAAATCCTTTGGGAGGCTGAGATGGGTGGATCACCTGAGGTCAGGAGTTCGAGACCAGCCTGGCCAACATGGTAAAACCCAGTGTCTACTAAAAATAAAAAAATTAGCCAGTTTGGTGGTGCACCCCTGTAATCCCTTGGGAGGCTGAGGTGGGAGAATTGCTTAAACCTGAGAGGTGGAGGCTGCAGTGACCTGAGATTGTGCCACTGCATTCCAGCCTGGACGATAGAGGGAGACCCCTGTCTCCAAATAAAATAAAATAAACAATGTATCTTACACATTTGGGAACTTTCTTCCTACATCAATAACCTTTATTTATATTGCTTACTAAAACTTTCATAACACTCGCATCTACCAGAAATGTACAGGGACGGTCAGCTCTCAAACAGTCTGCAGAGGAGAATAATGAAGACAGTACCCCATATCATTTAATTTGTTTCAAGCACACAACACTTGTAATTCCCAAGCAGATAGTCCACAATGCAGTATTCCAGTTCATTTGCATGGCTTCAGTTATGTAATGATTTAATGATGATCCACAGGAGAAAAATTTCAAAAGCGTGTTAGGTAGCCTCTTAACACAGTATTTGCCAGAAATGACGCACAAAATAAACTGAGTTGTCTAAACATTTTATTTTTAAAATATTTTTTAGTTTTGTTTTTTGTTTTTCTTTTTGAGACGGAGCTTCGCGCTTGTTGCGCAGGCTGGAGTGCAGTGGCGCGATCTCAGCTCACTGCAGCCTCTGCAGGATCATTTGCTTATTTATTTTGAGATGGAGTCTTGCTCTGTCACCTGGCTGGAGTGCCGTGGCACAATCTCAGCTCACTGCAACCTCTGCCTCCCAGGTTCAAGTGATTCTTCTGCCTCAGCCTCCCGAGTAGCTGGGATTACAGGACTGCACCACCATGCCCAGCTAATGTTTCTATTTTTAATAGAGATGGGCTTTCACCATGTTGGCCAGACTGGTCTCAGACTTCAGGTGATCCACCCACCCCAGTGTCCCAAAGTGCTGGGATTACAGGAGTGAGCCACCATGCCCGGCCCTATGCATTTCTTTATTTTAAGGATATATATGTGCACATACACATATATGATAAATTCCTAGATATGAAATTGCTGAGTCAAAGAGTGTGCATTTTAATTTTGATAAGATATTGGGAAATATTAACAAATTACCCCCCAAAGAGGTAGTAACTCTTTCAGTTCTACCGTTATGTGAACTTTACATCAACAAGCACACTGTTCTCCTTCCTCTATTGCTTTCACAGTATCTGAGGAAGGCTTTTATACAGGGTAACACTAAAGACGCAGAGACACAGTGAGGGACTGCAGCACCCGGGCAGACTGAGGCCGCCTCCATCTGGGTTCCGCTGGGAGGAGGGGAAAAAATGGAATCCCCTCCAATGGATTACTAGACTTTATGACTCCATTAACAGTCCGCTCCGTTCCTAGTCCATACACAGAAACATTCCCCAGCCACCCCAGTACCTTGAACGATGTCATCCTGCCGTTGTAGGATGGGTCGGGGAGGGCGAGTAGGCTCTCTGTCAGAAAGCCCTTTTTCTGGGGTCCTGGAGCCACCACTTCCTTCACTAAAGGATGGAGGTAGGTTCCCAGCATGGACTTGACGTAGCTGTTCAAAATCACTGAGGGCAGCACTCACATCCCAATTCTTTCCTGTCAGGAGACAAAGCAAAAAGGGAACTGTGCACCCGGAGTACAGAGAAACTGCCGGGAGAGACACAAAGATCACGCCAACTATCCCATCAAAACCAGCAAGCATATATGCATGCACATTTCAATCACTGTTCTTTTCCTTACCCTGTTTTAATTTTTTTTAACACTTCAATCTAATTTATCTAACTGCCTTTACTTACTGATTTGTTGTCTATTTCGCAAGTAAGCTCCATGAAGATAGAAACTTTGTCCCTCTGAACTAAAAGAGCCCTTAAAGATCTAGTAACCTAAAATTAAAACTTCCTTTTACAGATAAAGAAAACAAAGCCTAGAGAAGTAAATTATTTGCCCAAAGTCAGCTAATTCACACTAGACCCAGCAGGACTCAAGCCCAGGTCCCCTAGCTCTAAGATCCAAAGAGGTTCTTAGCCTACATGTACTCTAGTGTGTCCTAAACACTGAACCTGCATAGAAGATCATGGGCTTGTGCATTTTCTAGTGAAAGAGTTTATAGCTGTCATTTGCTTATCAGAGGAAACTATTCTACTAAAGAAATGACCTTTGACGATAGATTTGTCACAATGGATTTTTCTGATGCTTTCTCCAGTTCAATTATTCAATAAATAAGTATTGTATAATTTTTGTTCTATTCCATCTGAATTAAGGTGGTAACCTTAATTCAATTCCTGTCACCTACTGTCCTACCTCCAATCCATTCCAAAGAATCCCATGAGGATTAATCTTTCTAAAGCACAGTTGTGATCATTTTAGTTTAATAATCAAGATTTTTAATGGCTTACCACTGCCTACAGAATAAAACTTAGTCTCTTTTGCCTGAAACTCAAAGCTTTCTATGTTCTGGCCTACTTTTCTGCCTCTTTGCTGTGCTTCAATTTCCTTATTTGTGAAAATGCAGGTGACAGTAACAGTGCCTACCTGACAGAGTTGTTACGAAGATTAAATAAGTTGAAAGCACTTAGAATAGTGCTTGGTTTACTTAAAATTTTACTTCTGAATCATTACTGATGGTTTTCCTTCTAAATCATTATGTTAGTTAATTGTTCTGACTCCCTTTGCTCACTCTGTTCCAGTCACCACTGACCTTGCTGTTCCTAGAACATGCTAAGTCCACTTCCACTCTAGGGCCTTTCCACTGACTATTCCCTCTACCTAGAAGGCTGTTTCTCCAATATATCCACACAGACAACTCATCAGCTTTAGGTATTTGCTTAAACATCATATTGTTAGTAAGGTCTACCCTGACTACCCAGTTAAAAATCACAACCCACTTCATCATTCCCTTTAGTCTGTTCCATAGCACTTGACAGCTTATCATATGCTTTATAATTTAGTTATCATGTTTGTTGTTTACTGACTCTCTCTCCTGCTAGGACATTTTGTTTATTTTGTTTTAGGCATCTATAACAGTACCTGGCACATAGTAGTCACATAATAAATATTTGCTGAATTAATGGAGAACTCTTCTCCTGAATCAATGCGTGAATGAGTGACATCTGCCTTGAGGATCAAATCTGTATTTCCAACTGTCTGCAAATCTCCTAAAAATCAGGTCCTAACAATCCACAGGGCCAAACTGAATATCCATCAGTTTCTTTCCCAAAGCTTGCTGCTTCTCCTCTTCCTGTTTCCTAAATCAGTAATGGCATCACAATCCCTCCAGGCGCTGAAACTTCAGTCATTTTCAGCTCCTCACATTTCCTCGGATCACACAATCTTCATGGTTGTTTGTACCCCTAAAACATCTCTCAAATCCATTTCTTATTATCCATTTTTATTGCCACTGCCCTACTTGAGGTCCTCATAATCTTTAATTGGTCTTTGGTCTTTTAGGAAGGAACTCTCTGTCTGGTCTCTCTGCTTCTAATCTCTTTGCTCTACAATCCGTTAGCTTTTGATTTTTTCTCTTCTCTTCAATTACCAGTATTGAACAGTCCTGTTAGCCAGGTGTCATGGCGTGCGCTTGTGTGCTAGTCTTAGCTACTCAGGAAGCTGAGGTGGGAGGATCACTTGAGCCCAGGAGGCGGAGGTTGCAGTGAGCTGAGATCGCACAATTGCACTCAGCCTGGATGACAAAGTGAGACCCTATCTCAAACAAAACAAAACAAAAGCCCAACAGTCCTATTGCAATACAATTAGTTAACTTTTTTTTTCTTTTTTTTTTTTTTTTGAGACCCAGTCTTGCTCTGTCACCCAGGCTGGAGTACAGTGGCACCATCTTGGCTCACTGCAACTTCTGCCTCCTGGGTCAAGAGATTCTCCTCTCTGTCTCTCAAGTAACTGGAATAACAGGTGTGTGCCACCACGCCCAGCTAATGTTTGTATTTTTAGTAGAGATGGGGTTTCACCATGTTGGCCAGGCTGGTCTTGAACTCCTGAACTCAGGTGATCCACCCACCTCAGTCTCTCAAAGTGCTGGGATTACAGGCGTGGCCCACCATGCCCAGCCAATATTCCTGTTTTAATCACTTCTCTGGCCACAGAGTTCTCTCAACTCAAATACAATTGTTAAAAACTCAAATACAATCATGTCACTCCCCTGATTAAAATCCTTCAGAGTTTCTTAGTGAACCTAAAATAAAATTTAAACTCTTCATCATGGCCTACAAAAGCCCTGCATTCTCTTTTTTCTTTTCTTTCTTTTTCTTTTTTTTTAACTTTTTTTTTTTTTTTTTTGAGACAGAGTCTCACTCTGTAGCCAGGCTAGAGTGCAGTGGTGTGATCTCAGCTCACTGCAACCTCTGCCTCCCAGGTTCAAGCAATTCTCCTGCCTCAGCCTCCCGAGTAGCTGGGACTACAGACCCATGCCACCATGCCTGGCTAACTTTCTGCATTTTTAGTGGAGACGGGGTTTCACCGTGTTAGCCAGGATGGTCTCAATCTCCTGAACTCGTGATCCACCCATTTGGCTTCCCAAAGTGCTGGGATTACAGGTGTAAGCCACCACGCCCAGCCTCTTTTTGTGTGTGTGTGAGACGAAGTCTTGCTCTGTTGCCAGGCTAGAATGCAGTGGCATGATCTCGGCTGGAATTACAGGCATCTACCACTGCACCTGGCTAATTTTTGTATTCTTAGTAGAGATGGAGCTTCACCATCTTGGCCAGGCTGGTCTTGAACTCCTGCCCTTGTGACCTACCCACTTTGACCTCCCAAAGTGCTGGGATTACAGGCATGAACCACTGCACCCAGCCCTTTTCCTTTTTTTTTTTTTTTGAGACAGAATCTCACTCTGTTACCCAGGCTGGAGTACAGTGGTACAATCTCAGCTCACTGCAGCCTCTGCTTCCTGGGTTCAAGTGATTCTCCTGCCTCAGCCTCCTGAACAGCTGGGATGACAGGTACCGTCACCACGCCCAGCTAATTTTTATAGTTTTAGTAGAGACGGGGTTTCACCATGTTGGCCAGGCTGGTCTCAAACTCCTGACCTCAGGTGATCACCTGCCTCTCAGCCCCTAAAGTGCTGCGATTACAGGCATAAGGCACCACACCCGGCCTCTGTTTTTCTTTCTTCCTTATTTTTTTTTCCTTCTGTTTATTTATTTTTATTTTGAGGCGGAGTTTCACTCTTGTTATCCAGGCTGGAGTGCAGTGGCTTGATCTCGGCTCACCACAACCTCCACCTTCTGGGTTCAGGCAATTCTCCTGCCTCAGCTTCCTGAGTAGCTGGGATTACAGGCACACACCACCATGCCCAGCTAATTTTTTATATTTTTAGTAGAGATGGGGTTTCACCATGTTGACCAGGATGGTCTCGATCTCTTGACCTCATGATCCACCCGCCTCGGCCTCCCAAAGTGCTGGGATTACAGGCATGAGCCACCACGCCCGGCTGTTTTCTTTCTTAAGAGATGAGGCCTTGCTGTGTTGCCCAGGCTGGTCTCAAATTCCTGGGTTCAAGCAATCCTCCCACCTCAGCCTCCCAGGTAGCTGGGATTACAGTGAATGCCACCACACCTGGCTAGAGCCCTTATTTTCTGCTTCCTGCCTGTTTAACCAGCTGCCTACCACTCTTACACCATTCTTTTCTTTTTTTTTTTTTTGAGATGGAATTTCGCTCTTGTTGCCCAGGCTGGAGTGCAATGGTGCAGTTTTAGCTTACTGCAAATTCTGCCTCCTGGGTTCAAGCAATTCTCTTGACTCGGCCTCTCAAGTAGCTGGGATTACAGGCGTGCACCACTACACCCAGCTAATTTTGTATTTTTAGTAGAGACAGGGTTTCTCCATGTTGGTCAGGCTGGTCTCAAACTCCGAACCTCAGGTGATCTGTCTACCTCACCCTCCCAAAGTTCTGGGATCACAGGCATGAACCACTGTGCTCGGCCTCTTGCACGATTCTTGCTATCTCACAATTATTAATAGTTTTTCCAATGAGCCAAACTCTCTTGCAACTTAGGGCCCTTGCATAAGCTGTTTATTCCACATAAACACTCTCTTCTACATCCCTTTGTCTTGCTACTCCTACTTGTCCTTCAGGGCTTTGCTTAAAAATCACTCCTCAGAAAAGGCTTTCCTGCACTCTAGATCTAAGTTAGGGTTCTCGCTTCACTCTCACAGCATCCTCAACATTTCTTTCACAGCATGAGAGAGAGAGAGAGAGAGAGAGAGAGAATGCGCGCACGCGTGCCTGCATGCTAGCAATAATTTGTAACATAATTGTTTAGAGCCATACTCCAAAACCAGATTGCCTAGGTTCAAATCCTACTTCATTTCACTGAGTCTCAGGTTTTAAAATTATAACTCCAGGATATTAAGACTTTAGTTTAGGGTGGTTGTGAGAACAAAGTATCCTCGAGTACTATGCACATATTGACCACTCTTAAGTGTTCAACACATCTTGTAAGAGGAATGCAGATAGGTTAAGGATTTTATGAAAGAGGAAACATTTGAGCTGCGAGTTGAAGGGTGAGGAGAATAATAGAGGAAAGAAATGTTGCAGACTGAGGAAGTAACCTGACATGATCAGCGAGAGGTCGCAAGTCAGGCCCGGCTGGAGCATAGGAAGTACAGGGAAAGTAGAAGACGAAACTTAAAACGCAAATTAAGGGCAAAGTTGTACTGAATTAGTAAACTGGAATGTAAACCCTGATCTTCTGTTTCCAAGTTCATGCCCTTCTCACAGGTAGCCAAGCAAATGTCAAATTGTGACATCTTGCTAAGGGCTGACAATTTAAAATATTACCTATGTATGCTAAGAACCTGCCCCTTCCCCATAGGTCTGCCTGTTTGTGTCATTATATATTTTCATATTTTCATCTATTATTTGTGACTCTAAACGAAGAATCCTAGGGACATGATTCTAACACTTTAGGACCTTAAAGTTTAGAACATTCAAACTTATGTATATAAAGATATAAGTAAACAAAAGCAGCAAAATGAAAACATTAAATTGATTCACTCAACACAGAATTACCCATAATATATGTTACATAAAGAAAGAACAAAACCATGGATGAGCCCAAGCATGAAAACCTTGAAGTCACTTATGTATAAAGAGGAAGTCTTACAGATCTAAAATTACGTTTTTATGGTGGCTCATGCCTGTAATCCCAGCAATTTGGGAGGCCGAGGAAGGCAGATCACTTGAGGTACGGAGTTCAAGACCAGCTTGGCCAACATGGTGAACCCTTGTCTCTCCTAAAAAATACAGAAAACAGCCATGTGTGGTGGTGGGCACCTGTAATCCCAGCTAGTCAGGGGGCTGAGACAGGAGAATTGCTTGAACCTGGAAGGCAGAGATTGCAGTGAGCCAAGATCATGCCACTGCACTCCAGCCTGGGCAACAGAGCAAGACTCTGTCTCAAAAATATAAATAAATAAATAAAATAAAATAATGTTTGTAATGGACTAATATAAATTTTCACTTGCATTGCCTGAGCATCAAGTGGAAAAAGCTACCCCAGGAAGTTCAATGTGAAAAGGGGAATTTAAAATTTAAAATTATGATGGGTTATACACAAAGTATATCATTAGAATTAACTGTAAGGCCTACCATTCACAGAGTATCTTTCTGATCACCTTAAATGTTCCAAATTATCCTAATGATAAACACCACATTTTACTTATTCTTTTCTCATTCTCCCCTACGACTCCTCACCTTCAAGGAGATCTCGTGCCAGCCCTGGCTCTGCTCCTGTGGAACGGACAAAATCCGACAGGACAGCATCCATGTCCAGGGTCATGTGATCATTAAGCACCTTCAGGCAGCTGGATGTAGGTAGAACAAAGATCAATTTTCAGGCCTCTACCTGAGGAAGAAATCAATACATAAGGCTCAAATTACACTGGAACAGGATAATCACAGCCCATGTCAGCAGCTTCCTAACCAAATGGGGAAACTATCCTAGCTCATTCATTTCAGTTGATAGCAGTTTAAAGTTATGAAGAGTAACATTTTATTTCCTATCTCTTCATTAACATTAGTATCTGGTTTTGTTTGTTTGTTTGCTTGAGACAGAGTCTCACTCTTTCGTCAGGCGCCAGGCCGTAGAGCAGTGACATAATCTCGGCTCACCGCAACCTCCGCCTCCTGGACTCAAGCAATTCTCCTGCCTCAGCCTCCAGAGTAGCTGGGACTACAGGCGTGCGCCACCACACCCAGCTAATATTTTGTATTTTTAGTAGAGACGGGGTTTCACTATGTTGGCCAGAATGGTCTCAATCACCTGACCTCGTGATCTGCCCACCTCAGCCTCCCAAAGTGCTGGGATTACCACGCCATGAGCCACTGCACCCAGACAACATTAGTATCCTAAAGCCTGCATTAACCAGTAACCTATAATGCCATTCTGAATAATGCTTTCCCTGTACTTTTCCTGAGCACTGCTTTCCTACCATGAGTTTGCTTATCCAAACTAAAGGAAGGAAGCAACAGGCTACCAACCCTAAAGAACTCCCCACTTAACAATGGAATAAAGGCAGAAATTAATTTAAAAAAGGAAAACAAAAAAAATTAAAAAGAAAAATAAGAACCCCCCACCTGCAATAGTCTCTAACATGGTGCCTTGTTTATTTCCTTCCTGGCACTTGAATACTCTCAAATCATTTTAATTAGTTGCTGTCTAGCCATCTCCTCTAATACATGTTTCTTGAAGGCAGGAAATTTGTATGTCTCCTTCACTAATGTATCTTCTGCATGTATCACCTGGCACAGTGCGAGGCATACTGGCTGTCAGTAGATATTTCTTGAATGAATGAACAATTACTATACACTGGATAATTTCAGAGTTAACTAGTGTTTTGATGCTAGCAGAGGAGTAAATTGATAGCTTAAACTATTCAAAATACATGAATAGGCCAGGCACAGTGGGGCTCACACCTTTATCTCAGTACTATGGGAGGCTGAGGCAGGTGGATCACCTGAGGTCAGGAGTTCGAGACCAGCCTGGCCAACAGGGCGAAACCCCGTATCTACAAAAACTACAACAATTAGCTGGGTTGCGTGCCCCTGTAATTCCTGCTACTTGGGAGGCTGAGCCAGGAGAATCACTTGAACCTGCAGCAGGCAGAGGTTGCAGTGAGCCAAGATTGTGACACTTCACTCCAGCCTGGGTGAAAGAGTGACTCTCCATCTCAAACAAACAAACAAACGAACAAATAAATAAAATAAGCTATTCCACAAAGCAGAGTGGGGACCCCACAGGTTCATAACAAGAGCCAATGTCTATTACCCTTATGAATCTAGGAAACATGTCTACTCCAAAACATGTCTTTCTCCATGCGGGACCGATGACTGCCAAGTAAGTTCAACTGAAAAAGATCTCCTATTTCAGACTCTGGCAGAAACTATGTCCCTGACCTGACAGCCTGGCGCCAATCCAACATTCCTCTGAGGTTAAAAGTCCCAACTGGGGAAGCAATAATAGAGTGAAGAAAAATCTCTGACCAAATTCTGCCAGGTTTGTAGCTTTCTATACAAGAGTCATTCATAAAATTGCCCGGTACACTTGCCCTACCATACCCACCAATCCCCTGCCTTTTGGGAAAGGTCAAAGTACAATTATTAAAGGCACTAAGTGACAAGGCACATAAACAAAAAAGATTTGTGGGTTATAAAATCAGCAGGTTACTAACTTGCTAAAACGGGATTTTTTTTTTTTTTGAGAGAGAGAGATGGCAAAACAGAAAGTATTCTCTCTTGTCCTGTTCTAGTGTACAAGAGATCCGTGAGTGCAGGGACACGATTTCTTCATTTTTGTAGCTCCAACATCTAGTGTAGCATCTATAATCCAGTAGGTAGTCAAATGCCCGATGAATAAATGATTCAATGACTAAGCCAACTTCCACATCAGCTACCAAGAAACCAACCAATTTGAAGCTTACCAGATCAGAAATTCTAGGGCGCTTCTTATCACCCTTCTATTTCTAAGTTTAAAAACCCTCCTTTCTAAAGGGACGTCAACATGCTGTCACCACTCTCACCACCCTCACATTACGTGAGTTTACACCTATATGTATTAACTAGGTGACTTTGGTCAAATTACTTACAGGGTTTCAGTTGCCTCCTCTATAACCTAGACTTGGATTAGATGACTCCTAAGATACTTTCAAGGTTTAAAAAATAAACTTCTTCAGTTCACTACAGCCTCATCATCTATTATCTTTGACTATCTATCAGTCTAGATATTATTAATATTAAATTTACCTCAGTTTCAATATCATAATTATCAGAAAGAACTACTAATACATAAAGAATTTTTGGTCTAAGATTCTTCAAATTCAGAATGTCAAGATATAAAGTAAATTAGTCCCTTACCTTCAGGAATTAGGAATTAAATACCTTCAGAATTAATAGATGAATAAATCCCCCCCTCCCCAATACAGGCAAGCATTTCTTCTCCAAACCCATTTTAGCCACAGAAGGAAGTGGTAGTAGCTCAAATAACTTATACATGTGAATAATCCAAAACCAAATGCATAGCTGCAAAATAAATTTTAATCTTCTTTTTTTTGAGTCAGAGTTTTATTCTTGTTACCCAGGCTGGAATGCAATGGCACAATCTCAGCTCATCGCAACCTCCGCCTCCTGGGTTCAAGCAATTCTCCTACCTCAGCCTCCTGAGCAGCTGGGACTACAGGCGCACACCACCATGCCCAGCTAATTTTTGTATTTTTAGTAGAAACGGGGTTTCACTATGTTGACCAGGATGGTCTCGATCTCTTGACCTTGTGATCCACCCGCCTCAGCCTCCCAAAGTGCTGGGACTACAGGAGTGAGCCACCGTGCCCAGCCTAATCTTCTTTCTTTAAAAAGAAAGTAATGTGGCCTGGCGTGGTGACTCATGCTTGTAGTCCCAGCACTTTGGGAGGCCAAGGCGCACGGATCATGAAGTGGAGTCAGGAGATGGAGACCACCCTGGCTAACATGGTGAAACTCTGTCTCTACTAAAACTACAAAAAATTGGCTGGGGGTGGTGGTGCATGCCTGTAGTCCCAGCTACTCAGGAGGCTGAGGCAGGAGAATCGCTTGAATACGGGAGGTGAAGGTTACAGTGAGCTGAAATCGCGCCAATGCACTCTAGCCTGGATGACAGAACAAGACTCTATGTCCAAAAAAAAAAGTAATGCAACTGTAAGCCATTTTAATAACGTTCTGAGAGAATGTGAGAAATATACAGTAAGTACACAAAATAGCAATCACAAACAGGTGCTCAGCAGAAAGGAAAAGAGTTGACTAAGCCATAGGCATGTAGGCAATTTCACAGCCAGACACAGACTTCTGAGTGAGAGAAGTGAATGAAACCAGCGTTATGGCATCATAGAGCTCACATGTCAACATAGCACACAGGCCATTCTTTTCAAAAAACATTTTAACAAAATAATTTACAGGTTAAACATTCTCTAGAATGCCCTGCTCTTTAGCAAAAATTTGAGGCACTAAGCCAAACTTCTTAACAGCACATTGCTATATTTGATGTCTCCAGGTGCATACTGTGGACACTGACCTAATCCCAACAAGTGAGAACAAAAGCTTTTGTTACATCACCACTAATACCTGGCTTAAGCTTTTCAAATTCCAAATTGAGATATCAAAGCCAATGATTAAAACAGTGTTTGGTTAGGCACGGTGGCTCACACCTGTTATTCCAGCACTTTGAGAGGCTGAGGCAGGCAGATCACCTGAGGTCAGGAGTTTGAGACCAGCCTGGCCAACGTGGTATAACCCCATCTCTACTAAAGATACAAAAATTAGCCGGGAGGGGTGGCTAGTCCCAGCTTCTAGGGAGGCTGAGGCAGAAGGATCACTTAAACTAGGGAAGTGGAGGTTGCAATGAGGTGAGATGGCACCACTGCAGTCCAGCCTGGGCAACAGAGCAAGACTCTGTTTAAAAAAAAAAGGAAAAAGTTTGTGCTGGGCACGGTGGCTCCTGCCTGTAATCCCAGCACTTTTAGAAGCTGAGGCAGGAGGGTCGCTTGAGCCCAGGTGTTTGAGACCAGCCTGGACAACACAGTGGGACCCTGTCTCTAAAAAATTGTTTTAACTAGCTAAGCATGGTGGTGTGTGCCTATAGTCCCAGCTACTGAAGTGGCTGAGGTGGGAAGACTGCTTGAGCCTGGGAGATCAAGGCTATAGTGAGTGACAATCATGCCCCTTCTCTCCAATCTGTTTAACAGAGTGAGACCCTGTTACAAAAAAAAAACATAATACACACACAGTCTTTGGCTCTGTCTTGGCACACAGGAGGAAGAAGAAAAAAAAAACAGTGGCTTTCAACCTTTCAAATAAACAAGACTCTGTGTCCAAAAAAAAAGGTAATGCAACTGTAAGCCATTTTAATAACGTTCTGAGAGAATGTGAGAAATATACAGTAAGTACACAAAATAGCAATCATAAACAGGTGCTCAGCAGAAAGGAAAAGAGTTGGAGGCTCTCAACTATTTAACTTAATGGTATAAAGACAATTCTCATTGGGCATCAAAATCTTCCAACTGAAAGGGCCTTTAGCAATTTCTTAATCCAATTACCTGCCCCCATGCAAGAATCCTTCTATTACATCTCTGACATAAATCATGTAGTCTCCACTTGAATACAAGGTCTGAAAAGGACATCTTTACTTTGCCATAATGTCCCCTTTATTGTTAGACAGCTTGAACTGTTAGAAAATGCTTTTCTAAACTAAAGCAAAAGCTATCACCAGCCCCCCACCCGCACCGTAACTTTCACATAACTATCTTTATTCTGTTCTCCAGGAAAATAGAACCTACTTCCCATGCATGATGGAATATTCACGGAAAACTATTAGACAAA